CTTTGACAAACCAGCCTGAAAGGGGGTCCCGACATTTTGGGAACGCCGAGATGCACCGGACGTGTTTTTAAGTCACTTTCTAGCAAGTGAAGGCAATGATCGAAACGCTCTTGAGAGTGCAGGTCAACAGCGGCCATTTCTCGGATCTACACAAGGGCTACATATGAGGTGTATGTGGTGCCGAATTGGGGAGAGATAGGGACTGGGCAGACCTGAACCGCTGACATCGGGACGCAACCAAGGAGAACGGCCAGTACTCGGGGGAGACGTTCACCTTTGCGTGCCTCGGCAAGAAAGTGCTTGGCCTCGCAGACTCGATCGCATTGTGGGGGGACAGGACATGGAAGCATTGATTGCCTTTGTGTATTGTGTCAGTGATGTTGACCCCTGTAATGTTGACCCCGTATTAGTCTGTAACCCCCCCCCCCCCCTTGAAGGTTGGAAGGTTTTGGGGGGGGGGGGCAAGATTTTGGAAGGTTTTTGCCTTGACCCCTAAATAATCTGGAATTGAGTTTCAATTGATTTAGTATTGCTGGGGGTTCCTTTTGAGATCTGGAATTGAGTTTCCATTTGATTTAGTATTGCTGGAGCTTCCTTTTGAGATCTGGAATTGAGTTTCCATTTGATTTAGTATTGCTGGGGCTTCCTTTTGAGATCTGGAATTGAGTTCCATTTGATTTAGTATTGCTGAGCAAAAAATAAAATGAGATAGCAGCAGCCATCTGGGGGAGGGACCGGTCTAATTGGGGGGGGTTGTTTTGGATTATTTTTTATTGAGGGGGGTTTTTCTGAGATATGAATTGTTTAGTATTGGGGGGGTCCACCCAGACCCCCTTAATAGGGGGGGGATTGCTAATAGACTGTCAGCATTACACAACACAAACAGTCGTTATTGAATGGGGATTCTGTTCTTCCAAGGGCCACCCCCTGCCAGAATAGCTACATGCTTTGTCACGGGTCAACATTATGCATGCGCTGTGGTTTTTGTTCACCTGGAGGGCAGTAATACGAGCTGCATTCCAGCGGGGAAGCTAGAGTTGGCAGCTTAATTCAGAAGCTAGCTTTACACGCAGGTGCCCTGCTTTGCGTAGGTACTCATTTTACGACAATTAAGTTGACAGGGAAGTTTTCCGAGGTAGTCTTTCAACGACATGTGCTTCAATTGATTTGGTGATTTCCTTCTCGCTTATTCCAGCTGATTTCTTGTAGCCAACCCCCCCACCTTGGATCGTACTTCTTGACACTGAGTTGAAGCTACAGATGATCAATCTGTAGGCTTTGTAAGGCTGTTGCTGGCATTTCTGTGCTAATTAGAACCCATGGAAGACCCGAACACCGCGCTGCAGGCTGGCCGGCTTCATCCGCCAGCGTGGGGAGAGTGACGCCTGCCGGCCGCCTCAGCAGACCGCGCTCGTGGCTTCCGATGGAAGCAGAAGACAGCCTTGGCTGAAGGGTGGCACCCCCAAATGGGTGACAGAAATCAAGGCATTTCGGAGCACCTTTTCTTGGGGTTGGCAGGTCAAGGATGGCTTGACCAGGAAGTTAGGCAGCCATCCGGCTTGCTATTAACGGCTTACTGCAAACTGCTTCCTCAATTTGGGGCTGACTTAAAGTGACTCATTTGGGGGGTCCACCAAGAGGTTTTCTCTTATCATGCCATATAAGCACAACACAAGCTCCGAAAGTTGGCGCAGGGGAGGTCTACTGGATTAAACACGGGCGTTGCAGTAAGGCCCACATGCGTTCGTGTCAAAATAGGGGAGCCCCAGAACAGGGCATTCCTGTAGGTGCCCTTTCAAGCCAAGGTGCCAAGGTAAAAGCGGTGCCCGGACAAAAACACAAACACGCACGCACACGCAGGCGCACGCGCACACGCAGGCGCACGCGCATGCCTCCAGGTTTCAAAGAGGTCTGGGGGAAATCAATGCAGAGGGGTGGGATTACGCGAGCTGGCTGGCATGGCCGGCATGGCCTGCGCGAGGCCTCAACCGGCTGCTGTTCGTCGGGGCGCTTGGAACAGAGGGACAGCTTTCTTGGCTGCTTACCCCTTTTGGGAGTGCCGGTTTGTGCAAGTGAACAACCCCTTCTCGAGGGATTCCAAAGTCGTTTGAAATCCCTGCGGGTGATCTTCTGGTTCTGGCACATGGTCATAATTCCACCGCAACAATTTTCGGGTAAACCGTTGGAAGCTTTCTTCCCGTGTTCACCAAAAAGGATGAAGACAGAATCAAGCAGCCTGGCGTTTCACAAGATGATTGGACTCTTTTTCGTTGCATTTTACTTATGAAAGGAAGCCCAGGTGTAGGAGTCCCCAGCTTCGAACACACTCAGAACGAGCAGGAAATAGCATGTGTTTTGGCCCAACAGTTTCTTATCGGCGAACTTTGATCACATGAGAATCTACAGGAAGCTTTTCAACAAGCAACTTCGCCTTGGGGCATGTTCTCCAAAGGCACCTGCGACATTGTGTCCCTTTTCAAAAGCGTCAGTTTAGTTTCTCCTTTGTATTCAGGAGAGACAACAGGACCTCCCCACAAGAAATTCCCTGGAAAGGTTCCACGTCACAACCTCTCCTGCGGGGTGGGCGTGCTCGGGACCTATTTCTAAGAGGTCGGGACCACCCGAGTCACGTCTTCGGACCACGGTTTTGCTCATACCTCGAACCAGAGTTTTGCTTTTGACCAGGCCCTTGTTCCCAAAGCACTGGTCAGCTTGATTGAATTGCCCGTCCGGTTCAGGAGAAGGGCCTGCTGACCTTCTCCAAGTGAGTGGAATCACCCGGGTGGCTTTTGCGTGCGCAAAAGAGAGAGCTAGGCGCCTTTCGCTATGGGAGGAGAAGGAGGAGGGTTGGGGATGTTTTCTTTTGATGGTGAACTTCTTTCTTGGCCAACTAAAGTCCAAAAAATATGGTTTTCTTTTTTTTGCCAACGTACTTCGTTGGCCGGTCTCAGTATGAGACTTGTCATGTGTCAGCAGGAACTCGTACCCAGCTCATTTTGGGTTCCCTGATTTTGAGCCAACCCCGAGATCTCACCCCTCGCAGGTGCCCCGGGCCCGGCGGCGAAACCTGGCAACTCGGCGAAGCCGAGGTCGAGGTACGGGGAAAGGCTCTCTCGGTACGGGGAAAGGCTCTCTCCCTCAAATCGACCACGGGGTGACTTGGATGGGGGTCGAAGAGGGGATGCAATCAATCAGAAGAAATGGAACTGCAGGAATGGCCGACAGATGTGATGCAAGGAGGAGTTGTGTGGTGCTCACTGCAAACAGAAGACCGTTTCCACCTTCCCGGCCAAGGCGGTGGTCGCCGCGGTCTTGGTCACCTTCACAGGGCCCGGGCCCGAGGTGAGATGCTGTGTGGGGCAGGCGTTGCAACCGTGCCCTTGCGCGTTTGGACGGAACTCAAAGGCAGAACCTCCGCCCCCCTTTCGAAAGATTCCCAAGTTCCCCTATTTTGAGGCAATACCATATCCTCAAATCTGTAGGCGTAAAGATGGCGGTTTGAGTCCAGGCGCTATCGTGCGATTTGTCCGGTTATTTTTCCATGGTTTAGTCCCTCGGGAATTTGCATTCGAACATTGATTGCCGGATTTCGGAAAGACACCTACCCGCAGGCCCAGTTTGGTGAATACATGTTCGCAATCTGAGTGTAGAGGCCGCACGCATACATGGACAAGGCGTGTGCTTCGAGCCTGCAAAATCCGCCCTCAGGCAGCAAAACATATGGCACCGGCCGCTAGAGTTAGAGTTTTCTTCAACTTGTGGGACCCGGGTCTTTTCTAAAGTTCCTGAACAGTATCACGGATCCCAAAAATACAAACTTAGGATCGGCCTCACTGATTGCTAGTGTCCGGCCGGCGGTTGGCCAAGGTTGAAAGCCAGAGCCGCAGGCCGCTTCACTCCCCAACAGTACGAGGAGGGAGTTAAGCGCCATGGGCAGAACGAGGCAAGAGCTCAATTTTCAACCATTTTATGGACGTCAATGTACATGTCCAATGTGTATGCATTTGAGTAAACACACATATATATATATATATATATATGCATGTATGTGTATACATATATATATATATATATTATATATATATACATCCACACGTACACACACAGAGTTATACATTTATAAAATTAAGGAAGACCAGGTTGGTGGGGAAGAACAGAGTTCAGACTTTGGCTTTTGCACCTTGGAAGCGACAAACATAGTTGAATAGCATGGGCCTGATCTGTTCACTGTCTTTAGTGGTGACATACGCCACGGACATTTGCAGCATCTTGGCTAGTTTTGCATCGGAATTCCCTCAAAACCAGGGGCAACGAGCTCATTCTTTTATGTCCCCCTTCATGATACACCACACTTGTCCATGGCTCGCACCCTTATTTTGACGTGCCTCAAAGTGCACTCCATGGGGACATGGGGAGGGGGTGAGCGGTGCTGTTGGTTGAAGCTTGATGAGACGGAGGTTCAACCTTGCGCTCAGAAAAGTGCGGTACCCGCACAGATTTTGACGTCGCAGGAGCTTGAGGATGGTTTGAGCTTCTGCTACCTTGTGTTCGTATTGCTTTTTTTTTGCCACGGTTGCCCCGGCTAAGAAGTTGAAGGAAAACTTGACCCGGCGGCCCGGCATATGTTGAATTTGTGTTGAGGTGTGGTTTTGGGTTTCCCATCTAGTTGTTGTTTTCTTTTTGAATTGAGAGTAAGTTTCCCTTGTACAATATGAGGCAGGATGTCAGCAAGTCTGCTTGTTAGAATGTCTTTGCTCACAAACGGTGGAACCAAGGGCATTTGAGTAAGAGACCGTGACTGAGCGAATCGGATTCGAGTTGCTTGAGTCTGCCCACGCGATCGCATTTCAGGCCAGATACAGCCGCACGCATGAGCCCCATCCGATCTGATGCTGAACTATGCGGAATTCGTGTTTCTTTGAGCCTAGCTTTTGCATTGGTGTCATCCACATGCATTGCGCGTTGGTGTTTTCCCCCAAAAAATCTCACCGAAGGTTGCCCTGGAGAGAAGGCGCAAGCGCAAGCCCGCCCCCATGTAGTTCGCAGCATGGACCTGGACTTTGATGGCTTCCAGAAGCAGGTCTCTGTGCCTTGAGCGCCAGCCATTGGCAGGTTCTGTTGGGGTTGGTTCATTGACTACATGATAATTTTGACCCGGTTCGGGTCATCTTTATTTATATCTGCGCCATCGAATTTGTCCTCTTCGTCTTTTTTTTCGACAGGACATGGGCACGGACTAGGGAGTTTTCCCTCCCTGCTCCAACCAGTTCCAGCGAAATTTTCCACATGGGATCGAGAATCCGGCTTGGCCTTTCCGCATCTCTCAATTGAGGCTTAGCCCTTTGCCAAGACGGATTAAGTCTCAGATGTTGTGAATTTGGCTCAAGTGTCTGGAGAGGATTCAAGGTTTGGTTGTGGTCGAAGGAGCTTGGCCAGGTGTTTGCTCCATGTTTACTGCTCCCGGGGGGGGGGGGGGGCGGGAATCCCAAAATCGGAAGGTTTCCCTATAAGGTAACCATGGCAACCCAAACAGGGTACCCACAAAGCCGCACAGCCACTGGTTGTGACACGTCAGGTCTATTCAAACATCTCCAGGAGACCGCGGGGCTTGGGAAAAGGCGGCGCTTTTCACACGAAGAGCTTGCATGGGTGGAATCGCTCGCGATTCGCCAAGGGAAAAGCAGGGACTGTCCGATCTTGGACATGCGCAAGCGCATCAAGATGTGTGCCCCAGTCAGAAACTGGTCTCTAGTGAGAAGACAGGATAAACCGTCCCTCTTTACAGGGGATGCATGCCCAAAGTTGAAGGCTCCCACCACTGATCCTCTCATTTGGGGTGCAAGAGGAAAATCACATTTAGGTCTCACCCCTTGAAGGGAAAGACTGGGGGAATGCCCAAGAGCTCGACAAGGGTACTATTCGTCCTTATGTGAGGATGATTTGATGCCAGTTGGAGGTTCCCGCAACTTTCCTGGGGTATGGTCGGCAGGCCTCCAAGGAAATCGACGGCGGCCAATCGAGTTGTGGGTTGAACCTTCCGGGCCTGCGCCTTCCGTCGCACCTCGCACGTAACCGGCGCGAGGAGATCAGACCAGGAGAGCCTGGTCGACCCCGAGAACTTCAGCCGCCAGTGCACCGAGATCGATGACGCCCGGCTTGGGGCAGGTACCTCCCGTGCTGTGGGAGGTTGGGGGGTTGGGGGGGCAGGACGGGGCTCCTTTTTGGTTAGACGAAATCAGCATGAACCGAAATCAGCATGCAACCCTGGCTATGAATCACATGGCCCATTGGGTGATTTAGAGACACAGGTCGTAGCCGCTTCTTAGCACTTCGGAGCTACACTGTGCCCCATCTCATGGCTCGTTTGTGTTGCTTGTGCGCTATAGGTGTCCGTGTAGGTCAGTTTGACTGCACATAGATGGCACTGGTGTAAGCTTGGTGCAAAAAGAACTATCATGTCCAGCTCGTTGTTAGACATGACATCTAGGATACTGTGCATGATGCCATGTCTTCCGCAGCCCAGGAGATAGCGAGCAAAACACTGCTGGACCAATCCTTGATAGAGGATGCCCTTAGGGAGGCCGTCCAGGAGTGCAAGTTCTGCGCTGCTCGGGCGGCACTTGGATGCGCGCCAATCCGTTTAAACTGTGCCCGTTTGGGGAACAAGGGCAACTGTGTTTGGTGCACAGCTCTGGGCATTTGGAGCCGTGCACTCCCTCCAACAAGCCAGTCGCATTTCTGATTGCAGGGCTTTAGCTGTAAACATCCCTACCCCTTCGTGCCCCCCCCCCCCCTCTCCCAAGAAACAGAGACGAAGAAGAAGAAGAAAAACACAACACATCAACCACAGAGACAAGCAAATGCAAGCGCTGCGCCGCCTCGGCCAGGCTCAAAAGAACTGCATGAGCAATGCGGGCTTGAGCCAGTGCTGCTTGGGCGGGGCTGAGCGAGCAGTCTGGTGTGCGGCAAGGGAAGTGATTGCCAGGAACTTGAGTTCGAGTCGGCCAGCGAGGTGGCCGGAATGAGCTGGATGGCCTAGAAACAGTCATGCCCGGCGCGCTAAAGTTGGCTGGGGCTGTGCTTGAGGCTGAGGACTTGTAGCTGCGGGGGCTGCAATGGGTTGCTCGGCCGGCCTCAGTCATCAAACTGACTGGCTTGAGGTGACTCACTCCTTAGCTACATTGCGTGAAGCTAGGTCGGCCCCAAGCCCTTAGTACCAGGCTGGGCCGGTGAGAACTGCAGCCGCAAGCAAGGCGCCGGGGATCAGCTCGCAACCCCAAGCAATCCCTCAGACAATCCCACAGAGTGAGGGCCAAGAACAGAGAGCTTCAGCTTCACGCTTGTGGGTTAGCAGGTTGGGCTAGGTGAGATCCCAAGCTTTCAGAAAATAGGCGCCTGAGTCTGAGGGCTGGGTTAGGATTGGGGCTCTTTAAGGGCGTGTCTCAGGAGCCCTCAGAGGCCGTTTGCGTTTTTTTTCTTCTCCTTCGGGGTTCCCAATTCCAGTTGGGGCGCCCCTCTTTGCGGCCCCCAAAGGTTCACGGATCCTTGCTTTTTTAAGTAACAGATCAATTGGGGCAGCGACCAGTTTTGTGCTAAGCAAAAGGCTGCTTGGTGAGTGATGGCAGAACGTCGTGGAAGAGAGGGTCGGTGGGCGAAATTGTGAGTTCAGTATAGCGATTTAACATTTGGGGCCCCGGCGTTTTGGAGAAGCTTGCTTTAATTTAAGGGGACCCTTGAAAATCGCAGGGAAGAGATTACACATTGACATGTATATCCACAAATCAACATACACATATATACATAATTATACATATACATATATATATATATACACATCTATATATACACATACACATACACATGCACACTGTTGTATGCAGAAGCACCTCCGCACCTCACCCTTTGGCTGGCGATTTTCCGGGCTCAGGTGACCATTGCGGATCCTCAGCGCGAGGACTGCCCGCTCATCGCGGTCTCCGATGAGTTCCTGACGATGACTGGCTACTTCCGGGAGGAGGTGGTAGGCAACGGGGCTGACAGCTGGCTGGGGAGATGTTTTTGTGTACAGTTTTATTAGCAAGTGTATACATACATATATGATCATTGCATATTAGAATATATTTCTCTAAATGCATACAGATACAACGTGCGCATACATGTACATGCATTTGTTACACATGCAAACGTGGACATACATACATATATATATATATATATTATTATATGTATATACACATAACACTTACACAAGCTTTAGTTCCTCACGGCCAATCAAACCGGAATCAACACACGATTGGTTCAGGGAGCCCCCAATGTTGCACATCCTTTTGGAGAACAAACCATATTGTTTGTGAGCTCAGATGTTTTTTGTTTCCTCTTGTTTCGAGGTGCTTTCTAGTTCTAGGGCATTCATTGCCTATCTTGGGGGGGGGGGAAATAGGGGCCCCGGCTTCACATTGTTCAAGAGTGTCCCCAAACAAGGCTATTGTTGGAAAGCGATGGCGTGACGTGTGGACAGTCCACACAAGGCTCAGTTCTCAACGATGACCAGCAATTGTATGCACCACATATGCATCCCCCCCCCGTAAGAGGGAAGATCATACCCTATGTGTCGTTCAGGCTGGCTCCAGCTTTGAGTGAATTGTTGAAGTGAAATTATAATGATTTTGCAATTATTGCAATTATTGGAATTGAATTCCAATAATTACAATAATTGCAATAATTTCAGGTCCTGGATTTTGCAATTATTGCAATTATTGGAATTGAATTCCAACAATTCCAATAATTGCAATAATTTCAGGTCCCGGATTTTGCAATTATTGCAATTATTGGAATTGAATTCCAATCATTGCAATAATTGCAATAATTTCAGGTCCCGGATTTTGCAATTATTGGAATTAGTCGGACCGGCTTTGAGGCCAAATCTGGGATCAATTAATTATTGCAATTATTGCAATTATTGCAATTATTGCAATTATTGGAATTGAATTCCAATAATTGCAATAATTGCAATAATTTCAGGTCCCGGATTTTGCAATTATTGCAATTATTGGAATTGAATTCCAATAATTACAATAATTGCAATATTCGGAGGTCCCGGATTTTGCAATTATTGCAATTATTGGAATTGAATTCCAATAATTGCAATAATTGCAATATTCGGAGGTCTCGGATTTTGCAATTATTGCAATTATTGGAAGTATTCGGCCCGGCTTTGAGGCCAAATCTGGGATCAATTAATTATTGCAATTATTGCAATTATTGCAATTATTGCAATTATTGGAATTGAATTCCAATAATTGCAATAATTGCAATATTCGGAGGTCCCGGATTTTGCAATTATTGCAATTATTGGAATTGAATTCCAATAATTGCAATAATTGCAATAATTTCAGGTCCCGGATTTTGCAATTATTGCAATTATTGGAATTGAATTCCAATAATTGCAATAATTGCAATAATTTCAGGTCCCGGATTTTGCAATTATTGCAATTATTGGAATTCAATTCCAATAATTGCAATAATTGCAATCATTTCAGGTCCCGGATTTTGCAATTATTGCAATTATTGGAATTGAATTCCAATAATTGCAATAATTGCAATATTCGGAGGTCCCGGATTTTGCAATTATTGCAATTATTGGAATTATTTGGTTCGGCTTTGAGGCCAAATCTGGGATCAATTAATTATTGCAATTATTGCAATTATTGCAATTATTGCAATTATTGGAATTCAATTCCAATAATTGCAATAATTGCAATAATTTCAGGTCCCGGATTTTGCAATTATTGCAATTATTGGAATTCAATTCCAATAATTGCAATAATTTCAGGTCCCGGATTTTGCAATTATTGCAATTATTGGAATTGAATTCCAATAATTGCAATAATTGCAATAATTTCAGGTCCCGGATTTTGCAATTATTGCAATTATTGGAATTGAATTCCAATAATTGCAATAATTGCAATAATTTCAGGTCCCGGATTTTGCAATTATTGCAATTATTGGAATTCAATTCCAATAATTGCAATAATTGCAATAATTGCAATAATTGCAATAATTAATTGATCCCAGATTTGGCCTCAAAGCCGGGCCAACTAATTCCAATAATTGCAATAATTGCAAAATCCGGGACCTGAAATTATTGCAATTATTGCAATTATTGGAATTGAATTCCAATAATTGCAATAATTGCAAAATCCGGGACCTCCAATTATTGCAATTATTGCAATTATTGGAATTGAATTCCAATAATTGCAATAATTGCAAAATCCGGGACCTGAAATTATTGCAATTATTGCAATTATTGGAATTGAATTCCAATAATTGCAATAATTGCAATAATTGCAATAATTGCAATAATTAATTGATCCCAGATTTGGCCTCAAAGCCGGTCCGACTAATTCCAATAGTTGCAAAATCCGGGACCTGAAAATATTGCAATTATTGCAATTATTGGAATTCAATTCCAATAATTGCAATAATTGCAAAATCCGGGACCTGAAATTATTGCAATTATTGCAATTATTGGAATTGAATTCCAATAAATGCAATAATTGCAAAATCTGGGACCTGAAATTGGTGATTGTAATTATTGGAATTGAATTCCAATAATTGCAATAATTGCAAAATCCGGGACCTCCGAATATTGCAATTATTGCAATTATTGGAATTCAATTCCAATAATTGCAATAATTGCAAAACCCGGGACCTCCAAATATTGCAATTATTGCAATTATTGGAATTCAATTCCAACAATTGCAATAATTGCAAAATCCGGGACCTGAAAATATTGCAATTATTGCAATTATTGGAATTCAATTCCAATAATTGCAAAATCCGGGACCTCCAAATATTGCAATTATTGCAATTATTGGAATTCAATTCCAATAATTGCAATAATTGCAATAATTGCAATAATTGCAATAATTAATTGATCCCAGATTTGGCCTCAAAGCCGGGCCGACTAATTCCAATAATTGCAAAATCCGGGACCTCCAAATATTGCAAATATTGCAATTATTGGAATTGAATTCCAATAATTGCAATAATTGCAAAATCTGGGACCTGAAATTATTGCAATTATTGCAATTATTGGAATTCAATTCCAATAATTGCAATAATTGCAAAATCCGGGACCTCCGCAATAATTTCACCTCCGAATATTTCAATTATTGCAATTATTGGAATTCAATTCCACTATTTGCAATAATTCCAAAATCCGGGACCTTCAAATATTACAATTATTGCAATCATTGGAGTTGAATTCCAATACTTCCATTGTAGATATGAATTGATCCCAGATTTGGCCCCAATCCAGGCCAACTAATTCCAATATTTGCAACAATTGCAACTGACTTTCAATAATTGCAATAATTAATTGCAAAATCCGGGACCCCCAACTATTGCAATTTTTGGAGTTATTGGAATTCACCTTGGAAGAGTTTGAGTACTTTGAAAAAGCAAAAGCAAAACACGTATAATAAGTATAAGATCTTGAATTCCTCAAGAAGTACACGATCCTTTAAGAATAGTTAGAATAATTTGAGTAGATAGGAATAATTGGAACACACACATGACTCTGGAATTGGAATTCCTCAAAAGGCGCGCGTCACCCGTCCCTTTGGGAATACATAGAAGGAAGAACATAATTGGGATCATGGGAGCAACCATTAATCTGAAATTCCCCAGAAGGGACCCGTGCCGTTGGGAACACTTAGAAATCAGAACAGAAGAGCCTGGAAATCCACAAAAACAAGTTACAAGAAGCATGAATCTGGTTTCCCCAAAAGGCACCCTTTCTTTAAGAAGAAATCAATAAATTTGAATAACTAGGGAAGTAGAATGATTAGCGCAACATGAATCTGGACTTCCCCAAATGGCACCCGGCCAATTGAAAGTATCCAGAACCATTAGAATTGTTCGAGTTGTTTGAATGATTCGAATAACTTTATCAAATATGTATGCTGGATTTCCCAAAAAGGTACCCCTCTTTGGAACAAGTTAGAGAATGATTATTGTTGTAAAAAGTAGAATAACTAGAGCAAATTTGAATCTGAAACTCCACAAAAGGCAACCGTCCCTTTGGGAAGAAGACGAAGGATGATTAGAAAACACATGATTCTGGAATTCGCCAACTGCTCCCGTCCCTTGGTGAAAGACTGGCCTGGAATTCCAAAAAAAGCGCCCGTCCCTTTGGGAGTGGTCCGCATACTTAGAGCAATTAAAAGACTTAGAATGATTAGAACAAACATGAATCTGCAAGTCCCCAAAAGCACCCGCCCCTTTGGGAATAATGAGAATAATTAACTAGACGAGTTCGGAATAAGTAGAATAATTTGCGCAACACAATCTTCAATTCCCCAAAGGCACCCGTCCCTTTGGGAATAACAATTATATTTAGAAGACTGATGATACGTAGACTGTTTAGCAAACAGGTCTCTTCAATTCCCCAAAAGACGCCTGTCCCTTTGGGAGTGGTTCGAATACTTAGAGCAATGAAAAGACGTAGAATGATGAGAACAAGCATGAATCTGGAAGTCCCCAAGAGGACCCGTTGGGAGTAATGAGAAGAATTAATTGGAAGAGTTATGAGAAGTATTATTATTTGCAAAATCAATCTTTAATTCCCCAAACGCACCCGTCCCTTTGAGACTAGCATTTGTATTTAGAGGACGGTTTACAAGTAGAATACTTAGCACACAGGACTTTTGAATTTCCCAAACGGCACCCGTCCCTTTGGGGGTGGATCGAATACTTAGAGCAATTATAAGACGCACAATGATTAGCGCAAACATAAATTTGGAATTCCACCAATGCAACAGTCACCCGTCCATTTCAAAATAAAGAGAAACCTAATTAGAAGAGGTATGCTAAGTAGTATAATTTGCACAACAGCCATCTTCAATTCCACAAAGGCACCCGCCCCTTCAGGAAAAACAATTATATTTAGAAGACTGATGATAAGTAGAACAATTAGCACAGAGGACTCTTGAATTCCCAACAAGCCACCCGCCTCTTTGGCAGTGGTTGGAATACTTAGAGCAAGTCTAAGAACTAAAATGATTAGAAAATTGACTTCCCAAAAGACACCCGTCCCTTTGGGAAGAATGATAAGAACGAATTAGAAGAGTTATGATAAGTATAATAATTTACAAAACAACCAGCAAACATGAATATTATTGAATTCCCCCAAGTCATCCCTTTGGAACTCATGAGAGAATACTTAGAAGAGGTGTGCTAAGTAGTATAATTTGCAAAAACAATCTTCAATTCCCCAAAGGCACCCGTCCCTCTGGGAATAACAATTATGATTAGAAGACTGATGATAATTAGCAAACAGGACTCTTGAATTCCCAAAAAGGCACCCGCCCCTTTGGCAGTGGTTCGAACACTGAGAACAAGTATAAGACACACAATGTTTAGAACAACAATTAATTTGGACTTCCCCAAGAGTGACCCGTCCCTTGGGAGAAGAACTAGAAGAGTTATGATAAGCAGAGTAGTTAGCAAACATGAATATTCCATCCCGAGAGGCACCCGTCCCTTTGGGAAAACAAGTGCACTTAGAGACTGATGATAAGTAGAACAATTAGCAATCAGGACTCTTGAGTTCCCCAGAAGGCACCCGTCCCGTTGGAACTCATGAGAAAACTAGTTAGAAGAGGTATGCTAAGTAGAATAGTTTGCAAAAACCAATCTTCAATTCCCCAAAGGCCCCCGTCCCTTTGGGAATAACAATTATAGTTAGAAGACTGATGATAAGTAGAACAATTAGCACAGAGGACTCTTGAATTCCCAAAAAGGCGCCCGTCCCTTTGGGAGTGGTTCGAATACTTAGAGCAAGTCTAAGAAATACATGATTAGAACAAACAATAACTGGAATTCCCCAAAAGTCACCCGTCCCTGTGGGAAGAATGATGAGAATGAATTAGAAGAGTTATGATAAGTAGAATAATTTACAAAAACAACCAGCAAACATGAATATTGAATTCCCCAAAGTCATCCCTTTGGAACTCATGAGAAAAACTAGTTGGAAGAGGTCACAACTATAATTAGAACACTGATGAGAAGTACAGCAATTAGCACAGAGGACTCTTGAATTCCCAAAAAGGCACCCGTCCCTTTGGGAGTGGTTCGAATACTTAGGGCAAGTCTACGAAATACAATCAATAGAACAAACAATATTTGGATTTCCCCAAAAGTCACCCGTCCCTTTGGGCAGAATGATAAGAATGAATTAGAAGAGTAATGATATGTAGAATACAAAAACAACCAGCAAACATGAATATTGAATTCCCCAAAGTCATCCCTTTGGAACTCATGAGAAAACTAGTTGGAAGAGGTATGCTAAGTAGTATAATTTGCAAACACAATCTTCAATTCCCCAAAGGCGCCCGTCCCTTTGGGAATAACAATTATAATTGGAAGCCTGATGTTAAGTAGAACAGTTAGCACAGAGGGCTCTTGAATTCCCAAAAAGGCACCCGTCCCTTTGGGAGTGGTTCGAAGACTTAGAGCAAGTCTAAGAAATACATGATTAGAACAAACAATAACTGGAATTCCCCAAAAGTCACCCGTCCCTTTGGGAAGAATGATAAGAATGAATTAGAAGAGTTCTGATAAGTAGAATACTTTACAAAAACAACCAGCAAACATGAATATTGAATTCCCCAAAGTCACCCCTTTGGAACTCATGAGAAAACTAGTTGGAAGAGGTATGCTAAGTAGTATAATTTGCAAAACCAATCTTCAATTCCCCAAAGGAACCCGTCCCTTTGGGAATAACAAAGCAGGCACCCGTCCCTTTGCCAGTGGTTCGAAGACTTAGAGCAAGTCTAAGAAAAAATGATTAGAACAAAAGAGAATTTTGAATCCCCCCCTGGGGAAGAGTGATAAGAATGAATTAGAAGAGGAGTGATAAGTAGAATAATCTACAAAAACAACCAGCAAACATGAATACTGAATTTCCCAAGTCACCCGTCCCACTTTGGAACTCATGAAGAAAAGATAGAAGATGCATGCTAAGTAGTATAATTTGCAAAAACAATCTTCAATTCCCCAAAGGCACCGTCCCTTTGGGAATAACAATTACAATTGGAAGACTGATGATAAGTAGAACAGTTAGCTCAGAGGACTCTTGAATTCCAAAAAAGGCACCCGTCCCTTTGGCAGTGGTTCGAATACTTAGAGCAAGTCTAAGAAATAAAATGATTAAAACAAACAATATTTGAATTCCCCAAAAGTCACCCGTCCCTTTGGGAAGAATGGTAAGAATGAATTAGAAGAGTTATGATAAGTAGAATAATTTTCAATAACGACCAGCAAACATGAATATTGAATTCCCCAAAGTCATCACTTTGGAACTCATGAGAAAACTAGTTGGAAGAGGTATGCTAAGTAGTATAATTTGCAAAACCAATCTGCAATTCCCCAAAGGCGCCCGTCCCTTTGGGAAAAACAATTATAATTAGAAGACTGATGATAAGTAGAACAATTAGCACAGAGGACTCTTGAATTCCCAAAAAGGCACCCGTCCCTTTCGCAGTGGTTCGAATACTTAGAGCAAGTCTAAGAAATGAACTGATTAGAACAAACAATATTTGAATTCCCCAAAAGTCACCCGTCCCTTTGGGCAGAATGGTAAGAATGAATTAGAAGAGTTATGATAAGTAGAATAATTTTCAACAACGACCAGCAAACATGAATATTGAATTCCCCAAAGTCATCACTTTGGAAGAGGTATGCTAGTAGTATAATTTGCAAAACCAATCTGCAATTCCCCAAAGGCACCCGTCCCTTTGGGAAAACAATTATAATTTCAAGACTGATGATAAGTAGAACAATTAGCACAGAGGACTCTTGAATTCCCAAAAAGGCACCCGCCCCTTTCGCAGTGGTTCGAATACTTAGAGAAAGTCTAAGAAATGAACTGATTAGAACAAACATGAATTTGGAATTCCCTAAAAGTCACGTGTCCCTTTGGGAAGAATGATAAGAATGCATTAGAAGAGTAATGATAAGTAGAATAGTTTACAAAAGCAACCAGCAAACATGAATATTGAATTCCCCAAAGTCATCCCTTTGGAACTCATGACAAAAACAATTACAAGAGGTTTGCTAAGTAGTATAATTTGCAAACACAATCTTCAATTCCCCAAAGGCACCGTCCCTTTGGGAATAACAATTACAATTGGAAGACTGATGATAAGTAGAACAGTTAGCGCAGAGGACTCTTGAATTCCAAAAAAGGCACCCGTCCCTTTGGCAGTGGTTCGAATACTAAGAAATAAAATAATTAAAACAAACAATATTTGAATTCCCCAAAAGTCACCCGTCCCTTTGGGAAGAACGATACGAATGAATTCGAAGACTGATGATAAGTAGAATACTTAGCAAACAGGACTTAGTTGTGCACCTGTGGCCTTTGTCAGTCTCCTGACATCGAACCTAGCTGCACGCCTGTGCCCTGTGTTAGGCCACGGACAATATTACTTAGCTGCGTGCTTGCATTTCTTTTGCTGGTCATGAATTTGAAATTGAAACATGCACACGAGAAAATAACACACATGTTTGAACCAAGTGTCTATTTATTCAGCAGTATCCTTGTGCATGGTAAGCGCATATTATCTCTGTAGCACCATGTGGGAATAGAGTTTTGGTGTGCGTGTGAGTGCATGAGCATGTAACATGAAGTGGTGCTCAAATGCAAAAAAACGCGCGGCGACGCATAGGACTCATTCTTCCCTGCCACATCCCCCCCCCCCAATTTTCTACCGTATGCAGGTTGGGAATCTGCATGCGCTTATGTCTATCGTATGCGCAGCTGAGGCAAGAACTGCCGAATCCTGAACCGCATCTTGGCATGAAGAAGGTCTTTCCGGGCCCGCAACACACACACACACAAATTGGTATGCCATGCTCCGCCGAAATTTCTTGAATACGCAGGTTGATCGGCATGATGATCAAGGTACACAAGTTGTGATAAGCTGCAGTTGCTGAGCGGTTGACATGATATGCGCGCAGTTCATGAAAGCCTGGCTGCTTGGTTTTCTTGCCGCGAGGAAGCCATGCCAATGTTGTGGATTTGGAAAGGGAAGGATGCCATTGCCATGAATGGAGGGTGTCAAACACTTTTTTGAAACATGCAAACACTCAGTTGTTTGGGGATTATGAAGACCTTCTCTTTGAGGATCGGGACAACTGCGACGGACTCGCTCCCCGGGGTGTGCATCTTATGAAAGTGCTGGACCTGTCGGCCTTTTTGCCTGACTAGAAATGCAAAAGTCTGTGGCAAGCCCAGCGGTCACCGTGTTCCGCCAGAACATTCGCAGGGGTGAGACAAAGCATGCCAGGCCTGTGCTGTCGCGCAAAGCGCAGATCCCAAAGCCAAGGCCAAGTCGCGGTCGCAAGAGCCGCGCTGAGGCGACTGCTACCTGGAGCCGACGACCTTCTGCGCCCTCAGGGAGGCCTGCAAGACTGGCATGCCCTTCAATGGGGTCATCCTGAACCGCAGGAAGTCAGGCGCGAGTGCAATCCCAGGTTCTTGGAACTGAAGCCTCTGGGCTCTGGCGTGTTTCGCCACAGCCAACCACAAGCTTAAGACAAACCTGGGCCTCACTTGAGAAAAAAACATCAGCTCATTCCGGTGTGTTTCTGTTCAAGAGGTGCTTGGCCAGTTGCTGCCTAAAAATGCCAGCTAACCCGGGCAAAACTAAGCTTGTCCCGCAAAACGTACTGTGGCGGTTTGCTGAAGGAAATACAGGGATTCCTTATATTTGTTTTCGAGCATGAAACATCATCCCACGTGGAAACAATGACTTTAAATGGGCCCAACAAATAATCACATTAGGGCCCCACATTAGGGCGCCATGTCTCTCCAAGTTTACCCTTCGACTTCCCAGAAAGTCAAGGGACTTCTGGGTCCCTTTGTTTGGTAAAACCCGCTAAAGGTGGCACCACGTCATTTCGCCCCCTGATGTGATTTCTTGGCTGGGCCACATGCGGAGGTTCCGTCGTGCCAGGCATGTGTTTGACAGCGTGTCTCAAAATGAGAAGGGTGGTTTCCCTTAGGTGTTTGTTTGAAGCAACTCCAAAAGGTTACAATAAAAACAGTGTACCCACGTTGGGGCCTGATCACTCGCTGCACAGCTGGGAAGCACGGAAGCACGGCTTTGCTTGCCCATTGCTCGAGTGTTCAATCCATGCTCTCGACGGGAATCCGTTACCAACCAGCGAAATACCCGTTACGAACTGCTTAGGCTTGCAAGACATGGGACCTCTCCGACTGGTGGCTTTGCCTTTCAGCCCAACATGGTCTGTTTTTGGTCTCAGGCGATCTCTTTATGAACTTGGTGAATCTCCAAGGGTTGGTCGTGGCGCCACGGCCGCATCTATGGCACGCTCCAACCGCCCCTATCAGAGAGACAACTCGGTGAGTTGGTGGAACAGTGGTAGCATGTTGAAGCACCTGGCCCAATCCTGAAGTTGCCACTGAGGTGGTTGAATCGATTGTTTGGGTCGGCTCCTCAAGGAACCATTCTCCACCAGCAGCTTTCGTTGCATTCAATCGTTCTGACTATGCGGAAATCAAGTTGTTTGGAAGGATTTGGAGCCACCTAGACGGTGCTGCTATTTGAGGCATACCGATGAACAAATGACTGTTCGCAAATCTGTGAGTTTCCAACAACATCTACACTTAGCTGTTTTGACCAAATTGCGACGCTGCTCCTTTCTAAGCGGATTGCAAAGTCTCTGAATGGAGGTTCGACACCTGCCTCGAAGTTTGGTAATTGCATTCAAAGTTCCCACCATTGTCAGCTTCTGGTATCCAGGGACATGTTCTCACTAAACTGCTAAATCAAGACGACGAGCCGAATTCCAATGTCCGGTCACATCCCCAAATTGTGGCCTACAGATATCAGGGGATGGAACATACCTATTTCAAAAGGGGCAGGATCTAATACATTGCTTGCTGGTCAGGGTTCTGTTTGGTGCATTTAAGGTGCTGTGGTGGTTGCTGGCAGTGCTTGTCCGATGCTGTTTTGGCCGCTGGTCAGGGTTCTGTTGCGGGTGATGGTCAGGGTGCGGTTTGGTGTGCTCAAGTCACTGTGGGCGATGAGACTCACCTGGTTTGGGTCACCTTCCAATTGAGCCTCGAATTTCTGGCCCAAACTCAGCATACAGCCCCGGGATCCGAAGGACTGCCAAAGCATCTGCGTTTGGAGTATCCAGTTCCACTTGGCAGATGCCTTTAGGCCATGCCTGCCTCCTAAGCGTCCCCATTCAAAGTCTTGCACCAGGCTTGCTCTGCAAAGTTGCACACACACACACACACCTCACTTGATGTGGTCATAATTTGGAAGCAGTCCGTTTAAAAAGAAGTGGCGCGAAAGCGTTTGAGCCTCCGAGAGCCCTTCTATGGGGTGTGTTGGCCGGTGACAGATCTGTTCTCTCCCTTTGCTCGAGGACTTCAATCAATATTTCGAGCCTCACGACCCATCAAGCATCAATCCCGGGGCGATTGAATTAGAAAAAGAGACGCAGATTCAAATTTACTTTGGAGCCTCCGGGTCAGTCTGCCGACATGGCATCTCCCATGAATGTCCCCTTCACGTGCCGCTCATTTTCCCCTGATTTCCCCTTTTTCTTTTCATTTCCCTTCATTTCTCCTCTTCATGCCCCTTCATTGCCCTTTCATTTCCTCTCCTCCATTTCCCCTTCATTTGTCTTTCATGTCCCTGGCATTTTCCCTTCATCTCCCCTCCATTTCCCATGAATTTTCCCCTTCGTTTCCCGTTCATGTCCCCTTCGTCTCGCTTCATTTCCCTTCGTTACTCCCCCCAAGACTGGAGAACTGTCAGTGTACAGTTTGGCTCGGAAAGTGTCGGGCTCATTGCTCTCCGATTCCCCGCATGTCAATTCATTTCCTCTCCTTTCCCTTCCATTTCCCCATGAAGCATGTCCGTTTAATTCACCCTTAATTTTCCTTATTCCCCTTCATTTCCCCTTCGTTTCTCCGTCAATTTAGATTCTCCTTAATTTGCCTCTATGTCCCTTCATTGCTCTCCATTTCCCTTCATGTCCCTTACATGCCCTGCATTGCCCCTTCATTTCCCTGCACTTCCCCTTCATCTCCCCTTCGTTTCCAATTCATTTCCCTGTCATGTCCGCTGCATGTCCCTTCATTTTCCATTAGTTTCCCATGAGCTCCCCGAAGACTCTTTTTAGTAGAACGTCATCAAATTGTCAAATTGCCGCGCGGTACGTGGGCCAGGGGCCCAAACCCCACGCACTTGACGTGTCCCGGGGGGGAGTAGGGGGAGGGGGGGTTATCCTCCATCCTCTCTAAGCTATCCGACACGCAAAACAATGTCGGCGGACTTTGCTGCCCTCACATAAAGTGCAAACATACCTCCTTATCCTCGAGCCTTTTTGCAGCCCATCTGAGGTTCCTCTCCGGCTCGACCTTTCCTTGGGTTGTTTTGACCAGCCACTAATCATCATGAAGTTGCAAGTGATGCAGATTCCCTTTTCCCTGCTCTATCAGGATTCCCAATCCACCCTCCCAAACGTTGTCCCATCTCCAAAAGGTTCGATCCCATCTTAAGCATATCAATCATCTCGGGCTTCCCCACCCTCCATGAGTTCTTGACATGACCGTTGGCTGATATGCAAAAGATTGGGATTCTTGGCCCTGCCACTGACCAGCCTTTGGCCATGCCACATTCCACCCCGTTTGGGAGGTTTCGCATTGAGATGATCGCATGTACACCAACTCATGCCTTCCGCATCCGCTCCCCGCATGAGCCCTCCAAAAGCGCCGCGCCGCGATGTGAAAAAACTCCAATCCCCGGCGGCTTGGGCACTTTGGGTTTCTCCCCAAAGAGCAGAGAAGGGAGCCTGAGATTGAGGGTTTCCCGTTGGTTTCCCTTGAAACCAGCCCCATGGAAGGGTGAATTGAACCAAGAAGGCCATTTTGCAGCGCCTCTTTGTTGCTGAGGCAAAGAACCCGCGAGGGGACTCGCTGTGGTTCGTGGTGGGCATTCAGGCGATTCATTGGCGAGCTTGTTTTCCCACCGGGCCCACGCAGCGTGGGCTTTTTCGGGCCAAGAAGAACAAACAGCCCCGGAAGCCGAATTTCCTATGGCAAGCTGGGGGGGGCAAGTCAAGTTTCTGCAGAGCGGAATGTTCGCCGAAGGGCCTGCGGTTGTTTTTTGTGGGCCTCCCCTTCTACTCACCCCCAAAGCCCATTCAAGACGCAGACGACTGCCAGTCCTTGGTCAAGACCACTACAAACATCAACCCTCATTTCATGGCTGCTGTTGCACAGCTGCACCTGCCAGGTTGCGCTTTATTGGCACCTTTGCACGTGAGATGTCACCGGTGAGCCGATGAAAAACACTCCCCTGAAGCTGCAAGGCGGACGTCACGGATCTGTGCCTGGAGACCACGGAGCTCCAGGTGCCGCGCCTCAACGAAGTGGCGCGCATCATCCGCCCCTTGGCTCGAGGCGCTCAGCGCGAAACGGAAAGATGAGCGGAACGGCGATAGGAGAGGCTTCTTTTTGGGGGGTGGGGTGGTACATGGTGCACAAATTAAAAAGATGGCGGCTTCTGCGTATTGATTGAACACGAACACAAGTCTTTTTGTCGCTTCGCCCCACAATTGGCGCTGGATTGCTGCGTGATTTGGGAAGTGGGGTGGGGGTGCAAGGTACGCACATGCATGCGGCTGACAGCAACATTTGCTTGCCTTTCATGCATTTCTCGCATGTGTTTGTGGTTCGGCCTGTTTTCTTTGCGTCTGGCAAGCTGTGCGAGACGCAGAGTGCGATCCTCACGTCCGCACCCAATACACCGGCTTCACCAAGATCATGCGCAGGAGAAAATAATCTGTCTGCAGAGCATCTTTGAAGGTGCTTGGCTTTGCACCATACTATCCAAGGCGAAAACAGCCTACCATTTTGCTTGGGAGGATCTATGTTCATCTTTTATCCCTGTAGTGCCCGTTCTTTGGCAAAGTTGTATTTATTTGTTTTGCTTGTTGTAGATATCACCGCTTGTGCCATTTGAAGGATCTTACCGCTAGGCGGGGTTATGTCTCATGAAAGAGTAATGTCGGAAGTACAAGCATTTGCTGCGCGCTTTTAAGCGATCTGCAAGCGTCTCAGAACAGTTTAAGGGAACCGGTTCTTCAATCCGGGCCCACGTGGCTTCCTCACCCAGGTGAGAAGCTGACTGCTGACTCTTGGTAGCATTGGAGTGTTAAATGAAAGGCCTAGGGGTTGTCAATTTGCAGATTGGGCGCGTGTACGCGCAATCACGGGGCGAAACCAAGCAACTGCATGTTGTAGTGATTGCGGGGAGCGGGGGTCTGCATCAGGAACACCGTCCAGTGTCCAGATCCTCCCAAAAGGACCGTTGGGAAGCCAAAGTGGGCGGATCTCTGCAAGCCCACACGGTGTGCCACCAAAACCGACACACCACATGGATTGGACGTTGACGGAAGACGCCTTCTCCAGGTCCCATGGGTAGGATTCGCAGATGATGTTCAGCTGTGGCCTGGACCTTTGACAGCCACCCAGTTCCCCCTTGCGCAACCTGCCCATCAGACCTTGCTTTGGGTCCCCTGGCCAGTCACTTCTGGGGTTGCACCACTTTAGTGGGTGTCATCCACGTGAAGTGCTTAGCTTTTAATCTGGCACCAAAACCGCGACCGCGGAAAAGCAGGCGAAGCAGGATTTTATGCAGCTTTGTCCTCAGTTTTCATTGGTTGAGCAATAGAGGGGTCAAGAAGGGTCAAGAAGAAGCGAGCAAACTGCTAGCCACCCTGGAAGCTCTTATAAAAAAACCTTATTGTTGAAAAATAATTATCCATTTCCGGGGCTTCAATGGATGACCACCGGATTTGTTGGATCCGGACTTTGCCTCTGCCGAAATGAGGAGTTGTCCACCATGGCCATGTCCAGCGCGATGATTGCCGAGAAGACCCTTGGGAAGTCCAGCTGTGCCTGGTGGCTACTGCCGGATCCAGTGTACACAAGTCCAGACGCCCGGCACAAGTGAGATTTCTCTTGAGATGAAATGTGTGGGTGTGTGTGTGTGTGTTTATTTTGTTTGGTGTTTCCTTTTTTGTGAATGGACCGGAATCTAGACAAACGCTTCCTTTGGAGTCGCGGACCTGCTGTCGCAGTCCCTGCAAAAGAAGCCAACTGCGAGCCAAGCCGAACCGCAGACTTTTGTTGCCCAAACCAAGCGGGTTCCCCGGACTGCGCTGCGGGGCACGTGGGCGGCTGGAGGGGCGCTGGCAGCTGAGCTAGTCAAGCAAGCCAGTAGGGAGTCGAGTCAAACATCCTGCTGTGCTTTGCGCAGAGCGGGCGGGACAGCTCGAAGTTGTAATTATGTGGTCTTGTTTGCTTATTTGTTGTTTGGTTTGTTTGCTTGCTAGTTTCAAGCTTCTTTATTTCTTTCTTTTTTTATTTCTTTCTTTCTTTTTTTCTTTCTTTCTTTCTTTCTTTCTTTCTTTCTTTCTTTCTTTCTTTCTTTCTTTCTTTCCTTCTTTCCTTCTTTCTATCTTTCGTTTTTCTCGGGTGTGTTTCGGGGCTGTGCTTTTTGGCATGGGCTTCACCCATGAATCTGAAGGCGCATCTTGGGATCTGAGGATCAACAGACTTCTTTTTCAAGACAGAAAACATTGTTTGATACCGTGATGGAGACAGAGTTCGGCGACCTCTCGGATGATGAGTCACAGCCTCAGCTAAAGGGCGGACACGGGAACAGTGCGGGCCGCGCGAAAGAACAGGTTGCGACACTTGAGGGTGTCCAAGAGTCGATTTGAAAGGAATCCAAGAGGACATTTCAGCAATTCAGAAATTCATTCTTTTGGCGACGCCCGCTTCTTGTTTTTCGGTAGAGACGAGCCGCGGGTAAGCTTCGATGGTGCATGCGTGGCTCCTGGCATGCTCGGCATAGCAGACCCAAACTAAAAGCCTGGCAGTTAACGTTAGTCTTGATCGGCAATGGAAGCTTCCATCCTTGCGATTTCTTATTCGATTTTGCAAACTCTCCTTTTGCTACCCGGTTGTGGCTTTGACCCAAACAATGTTATTGGCTCGAGAGACATCCATACTTCGGGCATACTTCAGGTCATGTTTGCCACTTTCACCGAGCCATCAGGATTTTGCAGGGTGACCTGCCTTCGATTCGCTTGACAGAGCATGAACTTGCTTGAGTCTCCTTTCTACCCGCTTAGGTTGTGTTGCTGGTGCGATAGGCAGGGACTGAGAAATGGAATGACCCCAAAAAAACATCCAACCGGTGGTTTCCTTTAAGGGGGCCGAAGCAACTGGGTTCATTCCAACTCATTCCCTACTTGTTGCGCCAGCCAGTCGTGTCGGGGGACACCACCACAGTTAACTCCCTGGGAAGTCCGAGGTTCGCCGCCGAGGCAAGGCCCAGACCCGGCCTGGACAGGAGGCTGTCCAGCTTCGCGCGCCAGCAAAGTCAGCACGTGGCGGCCCGGCTAAGGGGGCCAGGCGTGAGATTTTGGGAGTTGGTCCCTTTTGGGGTTCTTGGGGCTTCCCGCACCAAGACTTTGCACCCATCTAGCGGGTCGTGGAGGTTCCGAAGTATTCCTGAGCTGTTGCCGGCGGGGTTTCCGGGGTTCTGGAGCTCTTTTTTTTTAATTTATTTGTGCGATGTCGATGTTTGGCAGAACATCTGAACACACATGATACCTGCCACACTGTGGCGAGATAGTCGCCGATCAAGATTTGTAGTTGCGCTGCTTCGATAGTGCCAAGAATGCCAAGTTCAAGGCGACAGTTGAGGTGTTTTGCAAGAGTCTGTTGTCAAAGACACACAGGACATTTGTCCCTTTGGTGCTGATGACTCCAAGAGTGAACACATTGCTCCCAAAGCCGACTTTTCAGCTGCAACAACATTGAGGACACCCTCCTGCCCAACGCCATGGCGCTGGGAGACATCGATGAGGCGGGCGCGCCCTATTGCGCCCGTTGTTTTATGAGCAATGCCGTGCTTTGTTGATGGCTTTTTTCCCAATTCCGACACTTATCCTACCCCAACTTGCTACTCCTTGTTGCAAGTTTGTTTGCTTCTATCGCATTTTTTCAGTTTATCCAACTCCAACTCCTTCCGTGGAATCGGCCCTTCATTTGAACTACTCATAGGTATTGAAGTATTGGTTCCTCTGTAAACAGCAGCCAGACGCGGTCCTTCAATTGTAGGCCATGTTTAAGCTAGCGGATATTTTCAGGCCCACAAAACAAGGCTGTCCCCGAACGCATCGTGAAGGGTTCTTCCGTGTGGAGTCCTTAGGCGGTTTCTCACAGAGCAACCTGTGCAGAACCACTTGCACAAGAGCCATTTGCACAGAGTCAGTTGCACAGAGCCATTTGCACAGAGCTAACTTGCACATTCTTGCACAGAGCCATCTGCACGGCTGCGGCTTGAGCAGAGCAACTTGCACCGCGCCCTCTGCGTAGTCTGGGTACAATCTGTGCACGAAAGTCTGGGCATCAGTCGTGGGTATAGTCTGGGTGCAAACAGTCTGCGTAAAGAGTCTGGGAAAAGAGTTTCAGCAGCCGTGTAATAAAAGGTGAGTTTGCGTAGAGGATATGCTTAATTCGTGAGAGAGCCCGGCTATAAGGTTCTTCTATCTTAACCGGGGGGTAAGGTTGCTGTCATCGCGATTGAAACTGAGCACTTTTTTGCACCACCCTTTTTGAGGATCTGCGTGGTCGATGTGAAGCTAGAGGACGACTTGCCCGAACATATTACTTCCTACGACTTGTGCCAGCGTGCTGAACCGGAGCGTGGCGCCGTCTCTCACCCTTTCTCTCTCCCCTCATTCTTTGTTTCCCTGTCTCTCTCTCTCTCTCTCTCTCGTTTTTGGCTCTCTCGCTCTCTGTCTCTGTCTCTGTGTCTCCTGTCTCTGTCTCTGTTTCTGTTTGTCGTGTCTCTCGCTCTCTCTCTCTCTCTCTCTCTCTCTCTATCTGTCTCTTTTTTTCCCATATGTTCTTTTTTCCTTGCAAGTTTGCTCTGCGCAACTGCGATAGTTCTCTGTGCGAAATGTTCTTTGCAAGTTGCCCTGCGCAAGGGCTCTGCGCAACCGACTTGCCTGCGCAACTCGCGCTTCGTGCAAATGGTTCTGTCCCATTGTCTCTGCGCAAGTTGCCCTGCGCAAGGCTGCGGAAATCTCTGCGCAACATGTTCTGTGCAAGTTGCTCTGCGCACTCGCTCTGCGCAGCTTACTTTGTGCAAAATGCCTGCCCAAGTGCCCTGCGCAAGTTGCTCTCTGCGGGTTGCTGGCATCCGCCACGCGGCTCGCGCCTGCGGCGTTGTCGGCCACACCCTGCCACGAGCCTTAAACACTCTGAGTGAGTGAGCGCAGATGCATGAGCACCTGTGCAGGACAATGGTAGCGTGCGTGCTGAAGGGAAACACTCGCAATGAGCAGTCGATAGTTTTTGGAAGTAGACCAAGATGCTGTGAAGTCACTTGCGCGGGCAGCGCAGTGCTGGCATATGGAGGTATACCTGAGATCGTTCCAACGGAGGCGACAGGGAGCAGGCCGTGGCTGCTCATGTAGGTTTGCCCCGCTCAACATTGTTCTCTTTAGCTTTGTGTGGACCAGCGTGTGGCCTGCAGAAAACGCCCCTTTTTGGACAATATTTTGGTTCAACGCTGTCGTACACCCTGAGAACTTACATTTGCCATTAGTCACGAGGTGTCTATAAAGCCGTCCTTCTGGTTGGTTTCGGCAGTCCCTCAGCAGTTTCAGGTGATGAGAGAAGCTGTCAAGGATTGCAACTTCTCCGCCGCTCGTCCCAAAGGGGGTTCGCGAACTGCGCCCATGATTTGAGGTGGCTTCGTAGGAAGTACGGTTGAGCATCATTCCCTTGCGCCAACTGTGGGTGTGTCTCAAGGTGTGAGCGCGTTCGCCCAATTTGAGGAGGGAGACCGTTTGGACATATTGTTGTGCCATATCTGTTGTGTGACATTTGTGTGACTATTTGGCAACTTCGTGGCCTTCGCATCCAAGTTTGTGGCAGTTCGGGGTCCGCTTGCGGCTTTGGTTCCAACTCGGCCTTTGGTCTTGTGCGCTTGGCATTCGCTGATCACAGTTCACGCACGCAGCGAGGCTGAGGGGTTTACAACCCGTCATGCTGGGAAACAAAGAAAACATGATGCGACAGTAACCTCGTCGTTATGGTGCATGATTCTTGTCGGGGGAGGAGCTGAGCCTGTGTTGACACAAGTCCGGCGCTTCGGGCTGGGAGGGCTGGTTTCAGCAGCGAACCACAGTTTCATGCCATGCTCTTGCGCCTCTACCAAGAGAATCGCAGGTTCAGCTTCGTCAGTTTTGCCAGCTTATTTGCCCTGAAGTGACACACTGCTCACATTAAACCCTCCAAGAAAACAACTGGCTGGTTCCCTAGCTGGCTGTTTTGGAGAGAGTACCCAGGGCTGTCTTTCGTGTCAAAAACTCGACTCAAACACAAGCCGCAACAACTCTGTTGACACTTCCCATATAAGGCGAGTTAAGCTGTAGCGGCTTCACAAGTGATTCTGCTTCATCTCCTATCAACGCCAAGGTTCCTGACTTGGGAAGCCCCGAAATTCTTTATACCACCAACCCAACCCAAGGCAACGCAGCGCAACGCAACGCGACACCACACAACAAAACGCACAGTCACAAAACACAAGCACACATGCGCGCAAGCACACACAGACACACACACACACACAGACACACAGACACGAAAACATGCAAAAACACCCGCACCGACACATATGTGCATGATATATATATATATATACATATACACAAAGGTTTCTAAGGACACGTCCGTTCGCATGAGCTCACGCACTCACGCGTGCACGCACCCGCACACGCACACGCACGCGCCCTCGCTCACCCGCACAGGCGCACGGGCGCACACGCGCACACACACAGAGACGCACACGCACACGCGCACACACACACACACGCACACATGCACACACGCGCACACACACACACACACGCACACACACACACAGAGACGCACACGCACACGCGCGCACACACACACACGCACGCAGCACACACGCACAAACACACAGACACGCGCACACGGACACACACCCACACTCACACACACACACACGCACACTCACACACCCACACACCCACACACACACACACGCACGCACGCACACGCACGCACACGCACACACGCACACACGCACACACGCGCGCACGCACACACGCACACACGCACGCATTCCCACACGCGCACACGCGCACACGCGCACACGCGCGCACGACGCGCACACACGCACGCACGCACACACGCGCACACACACACACGCGCACAGGCACACACGCACACACACACACACATAAACACACACACACACACACACACACACACGCGCACGCACACGCACACGCACACGCACACGCACACGCACACGCGCACGCCCACGCACACGCACACGCGCACGCGCACGCGCACGCGCACGCGCACGCGCACGCGCACGCGCACGCGCACGCGCACGCGCACGCGCACGCACACGCACACGCACACGCACACGCACACGCACACACGCAAACACGCAAACACGCAAGCATGCACACACACACACACACACACACACACGCACACACGCACACACGCGCGCACAGCACACACACGCACACACGTACACACACACACACACACCGACGCACACACACACACACACACACGCACACACACACACACACGCACGCGCGCCCACATGCACACCAGCACACGTACATTCACACACACATTCAAACACACACACACACACACACACACACACACACACACACACACACACACACACACGCACCAACGCACACGTACGCGCCGCACACACGCCACACATAACACACGCGGCACGCACACGTGCACGCGCACGCGCACGCAAACGCGCACATCTACAGACACGCACGCGCTCGCACACACACGCACACACACACACACGGAAACACGCAAACACACCAAGCACACCAAGCGCACCAAGCGCACCAAGCACACCAAGCACACCAAGCACACCAAGCACACCAAGAAAGAACGCCAAGTGCACAAGCAGACAAGCGCGCAAGCACACAGGCGCACAGGCACACAAGCGGACAACCACGCATACACAAACACAGAGATGCAGATATACGCACAAACACACACCGACACACGCACACACACAATTATACAGCAAGAAGCAACACAATCACACAGACACAAAACACAGTCACAAACACAAACATAAGTAGAACACAAACAATAGCAGGCGAAGAATGAGTACACAACGCATCAACACACACACAAACAAGCAAACAAGCAAACAAACAAACCAGCAAACCAGCAAACAAGCAAACAAGCACACAAGCAAACCAACAAGCAAACACAACAACAAACCAACGCAAACGCACACACAGACACAGACAAACATACAAACACAATCACACATACACACACACACACGCAAGCGCGCACACACATAAACACACACAAGCACACGCCTACAAGCACACACAAACACACACACAGACACACACACACACACACTCAGACACACACACACACACAAACACACACACACCCACACCCCCACACCCACACCCACACCCACACGCACACGCACACGCACACGCACACGCACACCCACACACACACACCCACGCGCGCGCGCACACGCACGCATGCACGCACCCACCCACCCACCCACGCACGCACGGACGCACGCGCGCGCGCACGCGCACGCGGACACGCACACGCACACGCACACGCTAACGCTAACACTAGCACTAACACTGACACTGACACTGACACTGACACTAACACCAACACTAACACGAACACGAACACGAACACGAGCACTAACACTAACACTAACACCAACACTAACACGAACACAAACGCTAGCACGAACGGTAGCACTAACACTAGCACTGTCACTAACACTAACATGTTCATTAACACTAACACTGACACAAGCACAAACACAAGCACAAACACACATAAAGCCACCCGAAGGGAGCCTGGCGCTCATTTTTTCTCAGGTCTCCATTGGTGACCCGCGCGCCTTTGATTGCCCCCTGGTGGCCGTTTCGGACCAGTTTGAGGCCCTCACGGGATATTCGCGTGATGCCGCTCGGCAGAATGATTCAGCGTGTCTCAAGAGGGATTAGGCTGGTCTCCTTTGTGAGTGGGTGAGCCATCAAATCAACAGTTAACAGCTGGGATTGAATTTGCATTCGGATGGTGGCTTCAATGTGTGGCGATTCCAATGTAGAGGGTATGTCAGGACTCCAGTTGAAGGGCCACATGGGGGATGTCAAAAGGCGGGGCACTTTTCAGAGCCCCTTTGGTGAGGTCTTGTGCCGCCCGGGGAAAAGGAGGCAATCAACAAAGGGTCGAGTCTATCATTTTGGCATCCCCCGCATCCCTCAGGTCATTCTCATGCGAATCCTATCGTTTGATGTGCTCATATTCCTTCCCCATTTGATGCATCTGGTATCTTTTTCTTCATAGAACGATCATGAACAACCGCATCTTGGTTGTCGAATAAGCTGTTTGCAGCATGTCGCACTGGCGCTTCCGAGAGAGAGAGAGAGGGCGAGAGCGCGAGAGAGAGAGAGAGAGAGAGAGAGCCAGGAGATCATCGGGAAGAATTGCCGCTTCCTGGGGAGGAATTGCCCATTAGGCCGGGGCCCGATGTCCCATTCGCGTGATGCGGTTTTGGCGGCTGTTGAGTCTCTTGAGGGACAAGCTCGTGGACCTTGCAAAGGGTTGCTGTGAAGTAGAAGTATCATTTCAACCTTAAAGGCGGGTCAAAGGTAAAACCAGTTCTTCACTTCTGACCACTCGGGCTCCGAGCAAGAAATCCGAATGACCCTCTGTGTTTGGAACAAAGCGCATGGCCAGCGTGGTGGGCTACTGAGTCAAGACTGCCACCTTTGGCACCCGCAAATAAACGCCGGCCGCAACATGTCCATTGTGGGGTTAAGCAACAAAGCTGTGTTTGTGTGACCCAAGAAAACCCAGCGCAGTGGATCCGAAGGGATCAAGAGCCATCGACGCCGATTGAGACAAGTGAGCTTCGGGACTCAGACAAAGCTATGGACCCCGGGCCCCCCCATTTTGTGCTCTCTCTTTTATTCAGCGACTGCAAGACACCGAGCTTTGGGTTGAAATTGAGATTCCGTTCCTTTCTCGATCCCGCGATCCGGATCCAGGAGAGCAGGACCAGACTGCCTTGAGGCAGGCTTGCATGGACGGATCCCCTTTCTGCAAGATCATCGTGAACCGCAGGACCGGGCCTGACCGCGCCAGAAGAAGGGACCGTTTGGATTTGATTTCAAGGATGAGGGTGCGGGCTCCTGTACGCCAATCCGAATAACAGTAGGCAATGCATCATTTTGTCTCGTGGTGTTGGGTCGTTTTGGTCTCACCTGCCAAATGCGGACCTATCGGCCTACCACCCTGAAAAGTGTGTTTCTTCGTAGACTCGTTGACATGCGAGTAGATATAGTCATCTAAGGTTTGGCTTTGTTGCAATTGGTTTCTCACGACCTGAATTTGGATGGATGAACTCGCGCAATATTGCACGGACTAGTTGTTGCTGCGCGGCCTCCCTTTGCCAAGCACGGTTCTGCTTTTGCCCCTTTCAACATCACCCCAACAGGAAGCTCGCTTTAATGGTGTTAAGGTTGTTGCTCCAACTTACAATGATGAGATGCCAAGCAAGAAAGGAACCGGTCTTCCAAGAATGCTTAGCTTTTTCAGGGACCACTCACATTGGCTAAAAGCGCCGGATGCGCTTATATCAAAAAAAGAAGTTGCCACTTCAGATGGATCCCTACCTTGAACCCAAAGGCCAAGCGGGCTGGGGCACAAAGTGGGGGGCCCTTGAAGCTTCAGGAAGTCCGGCGACCTGTTTCTGAACCTCGTGGACCTGCGCGGAGTGACCCTGGCCCGAAATCTCAGGACCAGGCAGGGGAACCGTGCACGGGCCTGAGCACGCCTTCAGCCGTTTTTGGGGACACGTTGAGACAGATGGAATGTGTTTTGTGAAGTCTTTTAACTAGACGACAGTGTGATACACACACAATGTTGACATGTGGGATCTTTGGCGCGAGAAGTCTGTGGTGGATTGGGCAAAATGGCAGATTTCTGGTTGAGCGAGTGTAGCTCCTTGGTGCATTCCATCCGTCAGGGAAGAGCTGTGGTTCCTGGTGGGCATTCAAGCGGACGTTACCTACAAAGAAAGCAGCGCGTTGCCGAAGGACGGGCCCGGGCCACGCTTCCGAGTTTCGCGTGCAAGCGTGAGCCGTTGCGCAGTGCCCGTTTCGATGTTTGCTGCGCAGAAAGAGCCGAGCCAAAAACCTCGGCCGCTGGATTGAAGGCAAATAGGGTTCTCACTCTCACAAAGTAAAAGCACCATCCATTTTTCTGGGAAGCCAAACCATCTAATTAGTCTTAAGACGCACCCAACTGCCTTCTGAGAAGCGCCAGAAATGTGCGTGATTTGACTGGCGAGGATCACTTGGAGAGTATCCACCAGGTGGCCTCGTGCCGCTTGGTTCGTTTCAAGCGCTTTTCTGTTGGGGTCAACGGGAAGTTTCCACCAAGCCGAAATCCTGGGTTTGACAGTTTGTTTGGTGACAAGAATCGATGTCTCTGGTTTAGTTGGGTTATTCCATGTAGCAGGGCCATCTATTTTTCCAAAAGGCCACCTATGGCTGCAAGCTTCAATGGGTTTGACACGAACAGGTTGAGGCTGACAGTAGAAACTGCTGTAATGTTAGCTGTAATGGTAGCTTCGGATGAATCCAGGGACTATTTTGTATGTGGCAGTCGTTCGGATTTATCCGAAGTTGACATTGGGCTAGGCTAGCCTCCAGCCCCTAAAAACGGGTGGTTTCCTTTTAGTTCCCTTTGAAACAGCCCCAAACAACAAACACATTCCATTCCAGTAAGAAAGACAACCCAGGACCATTCCCCTTAACTTAAGCCCTAACCAAGGAGTAATCAAGGGTTCAACAAAGGGTCAAGGGGTCAATCTGCCCAAACTTCTTGCCCCTACGCGGTCCCTTTACTTCCCCTTCGGGTGGCTTCCCACATCACCTTCAATGTGAACCGGATTTGCTTCAGGTGCGGTTTAAGACTTTAAGAGGGACATCATGTTGCGAGTTTTGCTCGGGGTATCCGCGCAATCTTTCGAGGCATCCGCACGCGCATGTCCGACCAGCTGGCGCTCATGGCCCTGGCGGGTTCTTCCAGCGCGGGCTGCCTCTCCGACGCCTCGGGAGAGGAGGAGGCAATACCTGGCGGTTGGGATACCTAACGGATTGGGGTCCCTGCTGTTCCAACCAAACCAGTTTAAAACAGAAAGATAAAAAAGGCTAGGGGCTGCAAACCTATGGGCCGCTCTGCAAATTCAACAAGTAAAATGGTTGGAATAGTATAAGGGGCTGGCTAGTGTCACACACGCTCACATTGTTCCCCCATCATCATGATGCCTTCAAGTGCCCCATGCTGTGTTCTAATGATTTGGGTCTTCATCGTACCCTCCAAATTCAATGGTTGGAATACCTGTCAATCGACGTCTCAACAAAAGATATGGACCCCCCGCCAATGGGCTTCGGCTTCCCCTGAGTTTCCCTGCTCATGATGCCTTCAAGTGCCCCATACTGTGTTCTAATGATTTTGGTCTTCATCGTACCCTCCAAATTCAATGGTTGGAATACCTGTCAATCGACGTTTCAACAAAAGATATGGACCCCCCGCCAATGGGCTTTGGTTTCCCCTTAGTTTCCCTGCAAACCAACCTCAAAGGGAACCCCTTAAGAAAGACACACCCAAATCGGAGGGCATGAATCCCTGTGTAAGCGATGTCCACTAAAGTCACTAAAGGTTCCTGATTAAAAAAACATACCCGCCAGTCTGCGAAAGGGGTCCACTGTTTTGCCCATGCTCTTTCAGAAAGAAACCCAGGATGCCTGTGACAAAACGGAGACACTGACACAAGGCACAGACACGGACACACATATACACGCGAACACATCCACAACTGCAATCCAGAAGCACGCGAATACACAACGACCCCCACACACACAACGTTTAGACACGAACACAAACACACAAACACGCACGCGCATACAAACACACCACTGCCACACGCACACACACACACACACAACATGAACGCACACAGCACAAGCACACGCACACAGACCACACACAAACACCAACACCAACACACACACACACAAGCGCAAACGCAAACACAAACACAAACACACACACACACACAACCACACAGACAAACACACACACACATAAACACAAACGCAATCACAAACGAACACACACACACACACACCCACACACCCACACACCCACACACCCACACACCCACACACCCACACACCCACGCACACACACCCCACACACACACACCCCACACACACACACACTTCACACACACACACCACACACACAACACACACACACACCACACAACACACACACACCACACACACACACCACACACACACACAAGAGGACTTATGAGCACACACACACAGAAACACCGAAGGACACAAGCACACAAAGGCACAACATCACAAACTCTCAAGCTCACAAACACGCAGGCACACAAACACACACAAACTCGCCAACACCCGCAGACACACACCACACAGACACAAACTCCCGCAAACATGCGGCACTCACACACGCAGACACACAAAGGCGCAAACACGTTTAACTTAAAACAAATGTAACACCACCACAATCTAACGCGCAAACACGCAAACATGTTAATGCACAAAAAAAACCCACACCCACCCACACCCATCACACACACACACAGAGTCACAGAAACAGACACACCCACACAGGCACCCACACCCACACCCACTCACACAGAAGCAAAATTGTAAGCACGCAAGCAGGAACAAACACACGCGCAACCGTAAGCACAAACGCAAGCACAAACGACATCACAAACGCAAGCACAAACGCAAGCACAAACATGCAAAACACACCCGCGCATTGACAAATACAAATCCACTCAATATACACATGTACGTGCATGCATGCATGCATGCATCCATGCATCCATCCGTCCGTCCATCCATCCATCCGTAGATACATAGATAAATAGATACTTTGATGCATAGATAGATAGGTACACGGACACATGCATGCATACATAGATACAGAGAAGCATAGATACATATAGGTACATCGATATAGATACATTGATACATGTATCCATCCATCCATCCATCCATCTATCCATCCATCCATCCATCCATCCATCCACCCATACGCACATACACACATACATACCTACGTACATACACACATACACACATACATACACACATACATTCACACTTACATACATACACACGTACATACACACACATACACACAAACTGCAGACATTAATTGACACAACATTCATACGTACTCACATACGTACATACATATACACACACACACACACACGCACATACGCACATGCGCACATGCGCACATACTCACATTCGCAAATGCGCACCTACGACATTCGCACATGCGCACATGCACACATTCAAAACTAGTGCACATACGCTTATACGTACATATCCACCTACCCACATACACACGTACACACATACTTATGCACAACTACGCAAATACACAAATGTAAATACGCACATGCACCTACACGCATCGCATACACATACCTACACAATACATGCATGCATACACGCATACATACATACATACGTACATACATACATACGTACGTACGTAAGTACATACATGCATACACACATACACACATACACACATACACGCATCCACACATCCACACATACATGCATCCATGCATACATGCATGCATGCATGCATTCATACATACATACATGCATACATACACAAATGCACACGCCTTCACACATACACACATGCATACACACGCATTCGCAAATGCCCCCAATACGCTCGTACACGCATGCACACATGCGCACATGCGCACATACACACATACCCTCATATACGCATATGCACACATACGGCACATACACACACACACACACACGTACATGTTACACACATGACATAGAGTCACATAAACAGAGATACATAGACACCTGCATACATACATACGTACGTACATACGACCATACGTACATACGGTACGTACATACGTACTTACGTACATACGTACGTACATTTGTACGTTCATTCATTCATTGATTCATTGATTCACTGATTCATTGATTAATTCATTCATTCATTCATTCATTCATTCATTCATTCATTAATTCATTCATTCATTCGTTCGTTCGTTCGTTCGTTCGTTCGTTCGTTCGTTCATTCATTCATTCATTCATTCATTCATTCATTCATTCATTCATTCATTCATTCATTCATTCATTCATTCATTCATTCATTCATTCTTTCATCATTTCATTAATTCACCCATTCACTTGTTCGTTCCTTCGTTCGTGCGTTCGTTCGTTCGTTTGTGTGTTCGTTTGTTTGTTTGTTCGCTAATACACATGCAGACTGGCACGTACTTACATACATGTTCGACACTGAGCATGCATTTATGCATACACATATACGTCCTTTGGTTGCATGCAAGGTCTGGTTTGATTTTGAGTTAAGTAAACCAAACGCTCTGTTGGCTGTGGCTGTGCAGGTGCTTTGGGTGCCAGTGGACGCGCCCAAGTGGATGAAAGGCGGCTCGGCTGAAAGCGAACACGACCTGGCATCCCAAAATCAGAAGCCAGGGCCTAGGTCCTGGCCCTGCCCCCAGCTTTGACTTGCTGGTGCGATAGGTAGGAAATGAGTTGGAATGAATCCAGGGTTCCCGGAAAAAGGAAAAAGGGATGGTTTACAGGGGTCATTCCCTCAACAAAGACAAGGATGAAGCAACCCTAAGCCCACCCCAGAACGACTGCAGAGGATGAATTGCTTGGAAATTCCGCCGCATGGGTTCATTTGCACCCTGGCACCCTGTGCGAGGTGCTCAAAGCATCAGACAGGCCGGGATTGTCAAGTTGTCGCATGTGGAGCGGTTAAGGCGGCACTCCAGAGAAGGCCCATAGTTGTAGCGACCTTTTTGAGACCCCTTTTCAAGCCGGCACTGAGTCTCATCACGCGCTGAAACAGCAAAGCGCCCACATGTTGACAACCGGACAGATTGCAGACAGATTGTAGACGGATTGTAAACCACAAGAGCCAGTCGGGTTGGGCCTTCAAACAAGACCTAAAACAAAACAACGTTTTTGAGGTCTCCCCGGATTTTCGTTAACACTCAGGTACAGCTTGTTTGCCCTTGCTATTTGAAAGCTTTCGGGGCCAGGTACTTCGCGTATGAAAGGGCTCAGTCAAACATCAACGAGAATGCGTCTGAAGTCAGCCTTCACGAACTATCTGCGCCCAGAAAGGAAATTGGCCCCTTCGATGTCCAGATGCTTGTTACTGAGAATCACTAAGGGAGCCAAATTCGTTGGTAGCCCAAGGATCTTTTGGACGGCCTTCAACCCAGACTGCGACTCGCACTAGCACTGCGGGGACGGTCAGATTCCTGTTTCTCTGGGTCTTGAGCTGGGTCCAGTAAATTGAGTTGGTGGCGAAACGAACAATCACCCCAAAGGGCAAACATGTTGAGAATTATGGACCCTCCTGGAAGCTTCCATGTTGGTCAAGGGCAAGAGTCTGCCAATGATCATCCAAGACCAACCGCACCAACAATTGTCCAACCCCAGTTCACCCAACCAAGCGTCCACCAAAATTTCAACCTAGCCGCCTGCGAGTGGAAGGTGTGCGTAGTCCAACCCGCGTCCGGGGTTAGCGGGGCAGGCGAGCCCTGAAGCACATCTTCAGTGGCGTGTGGAGAGGGTGCGACAGACCTCAAGCTGCCAGGCACTGACAAACGGTTGCAACTTGAGCGAAGCTCAAAACCCGGGTAGTGCAAAGTTAGGACGGTACTCCTTGAATACTAAGTTTTGATGATGACCATTTTCAGGCTTGGCTGAGCCCTTGCCGCATGCACTGATGACCTGCTCGGCAGGGAAGAAAACTAATTCCCTTGAAAAACATTCTTCACTTGGAGTGCTCAAAGAGTTCGTGTCCCTTTCGCAGATTTTCCCGGGTTGTCTCTCCACCACTAAGAGGTGCACTTGTGGTGAAGCACCAAACTTGTGGGCACGGACCTTCAGAATCATGGGCCATGGGTGCTTGAATGTTGAGAAGTTTGTTTTTGTGACCACACTAGCTGTTCTTGTAAAGACTCCTGGTTTGCGTGGGCCGCTTGAAGTATTCTGATATGGTACCAAACTCAGTCACATGTGATTGTGTGCTGAAATGCCCACTTTTCCCAATCCGTAGGCAAGACACAGTTTCTCCATAGTGACCCTAAGAATATCCAGAAAATACATGGGTCCAGGGGTTGAAAATACCAGCAACGGTCGGACGAGGGCTACCTGAAATAATAAGGAACAAACACACGCGAGTGACACGCTCAGCTTGTTATTACTTGTCAGACATTTGCGGTATATGGCCAGTCTGAACAGTCTTTCCTCGGTAATCTCGACTCTTTTCCAGGGGCAATGTTTTTAGGTGCTCTGGTTCAAATTAAAACGGTCGACACCAACGTAGGGTGACTATGAGCGGTCAATGGACGACAGAGAGGATTCCCTAGGCTTATTAGGTTTCATGGCCCGAACCCTGATGTTTCTTCAAGGAACAACCACAACATATGTGCATATATACATATACATTGACATATATATGGATAGGTACATGCACAACATAACATAGCATAGCATTGCATAACATAAAACAACACAACATAACATGACATAGCATAGCACAACAAAACATAGCATTAAACTACATGTCATTGCATTCAATTTCTTATATATATATATATATATATACATCATATATATATATATATGTATGTATACATATATAGATACATAGAAACATAGTTACATAGATATGTAGATACATTCATACATTCGTACTTACCGATGTGTGCATATATCTATGTACACACATGATCATTTTCCACATATACATATATTTATACACATATGCAAACATCTATATATACATATATATATATACACACATATGCAAACATCTATACATATATATATATATATACACCAAATACTTCGTCAGGGGTTCTTTGCAATTTGATGCCAGGGCTCCACCAGCCGGCAGGCATCGCATGGCAGGCGGGTTGCCAGTGCGATACCCGAAGGGTTCCGGACAGCTTCTGCTGATCTGGAAATACCCCCTGCAGATGTCAAGCCAACCGTTCAGGGACGTCCTTTTGAGTTTTCTTGGAAGACATTGCCAATCCAATGGGGTTTCTTTGAGTTACACGTTATTTGACAGGGTGCAGGGGAAGGATTTTGTGGGAGGTTGCGAGACGTCCCTCCAGGAACTTAAGGTGATTGACGTTCGAGAGGAGGCTCAAAGGAATTGTTTGGGGCGACCCTCACATGTTCAGCGAGATGCTGTTGTGTCGGTGGCTCAAGCAGAGAAATTGGGCTTGTCTTTGTTTAAGGAAACCTCGGTTTGGAGTGGTTTAGAAGGATTTTTTTCAGGGGAGCCCATTTTCAATATTTTGAAACAACCCATCTCTCAGGCACTTAGCCCAACAGCCAATGTAACTCTATTTTGCGTCCAACGGCGAAGGCCCAATTGTTGGACACCCCAATTCGTTGCATGAAACCTGCTTCTGTGACCAGAGGAACTTTGAGAACCCAAGGCCCTGAAGTCGCAGTCGCAGTCCCACTCGAGGGACATGCCCATCCACCGGCGTATGAGCGCGAAAGTCCAAAGGTTTCAACAAGTCTATGGCTGTGTCGGTTCCCAAGCCCCCCCCCCGGTTCCTGCGATAGGAGTTCCCAGCCTGTTGGGCGTCTCACTGGCGATGACCTCGAGTTAGGCGCGATGCCGGGTCCGGATGTGTCAAACCGCGCGGCAAACGTTTCAGTGGTAAGCAAGCCAAGGGAAAACCCGCCATGAGTCCAAGGAACTCAATAATCAATGCGCATTGAGCAGAATTTGTTGCCTTACCAGGTGGGTGGGGTCAAGTTAGGGAGGGCACTTGACGAGAGAATCTGTTTTGGCAGCTGGTACTTGCTTATTGTTTGATCCCGGAGCTCTATTCTCCACGGGGATGTTTGGTTCGAGAAGTGGGGCAGGACACCGGCTTGTTTGTGAAATGCGGGACGGAGGGGTAGGCCCGGCTTTTGCCTTTGAAGGTTGCTTGGAAGCGACTGGGGTGGCTGCGGTGCTTTTTCTATAAGCGGATCCCAAAAGAAGCCTCCTGATCAAGTGAACTGCTTGTCAAGTGAATGTCCTTGGTCGAGTCTACGCATTGAACCCCTTTTCAAGCAAACACCGGTTGTGAGAAGCACCATCAAGATTCTGGCTAAACTACTGATCAATGAAACAAAGCAACAACATGCCACCTGCACATGCAGGCGCACCTAATGAAGTTCCCAACCACCCCCTCCCAACCACCCCCTCCCCGCCTCCCCCCTCGCGCGCGTGCATTTTCAGCATTCATTGCGGGGACAGTTCTTCATTTTCTCTTTGGACCTGGCTTGATGATCAGCGGATATTGCTGTTTGTGAACGCTGGGTACACCCTGCAAGACATGGGTTCAATCCGGTCCCCGGCACCGCCTTCAACGCGGCGAAGGATCCGAAGGATGCAACTGCAATTGGGGTTTCGGTCGCGCAGTTGCATCCTTCGGATCCTTCGCCGTGTTGGCGGCAGTGCCGGGACCTGCCCATTGAGGCGGTTCTACCTGGCTTCATGGACTTTGTTGGCTTACAGTAATTGTTCAGAACCATGCTGGCAGAAAATGCAACCATTCTGGGGCGCTGCTCGCATTTGCCTGTAACTAGAACGAGGATGGTAGAAACAAACTGAGACCCAGGTTTAGGGTAATAGCTACAGAAGAGAAAACCCTGATAGAAGCCACGAACCCGAATGCAATCTCACCTTCAGCTTTTGGCTGCAAGTTTGAAGTACGATCTCACTCCCTCCCTCCCTCCCTCGCTCACTCAGTCACTCACTCAGTCACTTGCTCAGTCACTTACTCAGTCACTCACTCACTCACTCACTCAGTCAGTCAGTCAGTGACTCAGTCACTCAGTCACTCAGTCACTCAGTCACTCAGTCACTCAGTCACTCGCTCACTCACTCACTCACTCACTCACTCACTCACTCAGTCACTCAGTCACGCAGTCACTCAGTCACTCAGTCACTCAGTTACTCAGTCATTCAGTCACTCAGTCACTCAGTCACTCAGTCACTCAGTCACTCAGTCACTCAGTCGCTCAGTCGCTCAGTCCCTCAGTCCCTCACCCACCCACCCACCCACCCACCCACTCACTCACTCACTCACGCACTCACTCACTCACTCACGCACGCACGCACGCACGCACGCACGCACTCACTCACGCACGCACGCACGCACGCACTCACTCACTCACTCACTCACTCACTCACTCACTCACTCACTCACTCACTCACTCACTCACTCACTCACTCACTCACTCACTCACTCACTCACTCACTCACTCACTCACTCACTCACTCAGTCACTCTCTATTTCACACTCGCTTTTTGCACTCGCTTTCACACACTCTCACACTCACTCTGATCGACACTTCTCATCGACACTTCTGCTTGAAACTTCTGAGCAACACTTCTGATCGACACATCTGAGCGACACTTCTGAGAGACACTTCTGAGCTACACGTCTGCTCGACACTTCCGACCGACACTTCTGAGCATCACTTCTGATCGACATCGACGCTTCTGAGCAGCACTTTTGAGCGACACTTCTGAGCAACACTTCCAATCGACGCTTCTGATCGACACTTCTGAGAAACGTCTCTCGCCGCGTCTCTTGTCTTAATGTGTCGCGCCACAGCGGCAACGATTCGAGCCAACCAAAGTGCGCAGAGGGTTCACCTTACGCTCGTAGAACGCGCACCGCGCCACAGCGAGAGCGATTCGACCCACCCAAAGAACGTAGAGGGTTCGCTTTGCGTTCTCAAAATGCGCGCCGCGCCACAGCCTTCGACCTACTCAAAGCGTTGCGACTGCCACGAAATCTGTGCCCAAGCGCGAATTACTGCGCCTGCCACGAAATTTGCACGAAAGGCTCCACACTCAAGCGCCTGCCGCGAAATTGAAGCAAATGGTCGAGAGTGCTGCGCCCGTCACGCAAAGTAAGCTTGCCACAAATTCAGAATCTTCCAAACTGCTGTGCCTGTCACGCAATTCATCTTGAACACGTTTACGACACGCGTGCATGCGTTTGCGCGAGTGTTATTTTTGTTGGCCCTGCCGTACAATCGGCTTGTTTTGGCGAGCCTGAGATGCGTCAAAATTGGTTGAGATCATGCTGGCGCCACAGTCCTGTGCTAGTTTTGGATGCGGCCAAGCAAGACATTTCAAAGCGACCGCCCCTGAAACGCAAACCACACTGGCCCGGCAACGCGAACACACAGCCTTCAAAAGCGCTGCGCCTGCGCAGCAAAACCGCACGTCGAGCTTGCGAAGCTACAATTCCCGCACCGGGCCAATGAAAACAGCGCTCGCCGATCCATCAAAAACACGCTTCCGAATCCCACTCGCACACGCTAATCGCCTCACCGCGGACGGTTGCGGACGGTTGCGAACGGTTGCAGACTCTCAAACAACTCCTCGCGAACCCGGCCTCCACCACCAGACCCCCACTTATGAACGGGAACCCTTCTCTCCGCGTTCGGGAAGAAGACCGCACGGGGCACCGTTCGCTTCTGACATGTTTTTGCTGTTTGCGGCAGCGGCTTTCGGAGGAAACCTCAATCGTTGAAAGAAACAGAAAACACATGCAGATACCACCCAAAGTGAATGTGTCCTGCCTCCAACATGAGGGACCCTGTTTCGATGGGCTTTCGACTTGAAGGGCCCCAAAAGGCAACATCGATTTTAAGATCCCCGCATAGCAGCGTCATGGTTTCGTCTCCAAATAGGGAGCCTCACCCCAAAACACCTTCAAGTCTGGTAGCTCTGTGAGGTAGGAACCTTGCAGCTCTTCCGGCCAAGCAGAATACGACGTGGGAGTTGACGTGGAGCCCTCAGAAGATGAGGGTTCCTGTTTCCAGATCCGGTGTGGAACTTTTTCAGCACCCGCGGGGGGGTTGTGACGTGTGGGATAGTTAATCGAGTGAGGAATTTCATGTTACACTTTGCATGTGACTCAGAGTGAAGCAAGTGCAAGTCCCTGTCCAGCTAGGCCTCGGTGCCCTATTTTCTTGAGCCCTTCCATCAAGGTCGGATATAAGGAATCTCTACGAGAATTTGCATCCTTTTCCCTCACTAGCCGCAGCGGCTCACACACATCTTCTACAGTGTACAGATATATATGTATATACATCTACATACACTGCGCATGTGTGCAAAGCCATGACAAGTCTTGAAGCTTGTTTAACTCCACATCCCGCGGGTCTTTTGCTTGAAAGCCAATCTGACCTTCTCCTTGGGTCCCAAAAGCTCAACCGTTTACCTAGTTTACTTGGTTAAGGGGGACAGTGTGGCATGAGGTACGATTCATTCCATTCCAAACCAAGCAAAAACCATGGCAACAGAGTTCTCAGCTTCTTGGCTTGGGGAAAGGCTTGGGCCACAAGCGTGGGATTGGAGATGATGGGCTCACATCCCATGAAGCTTGGTGGCTATTTGGTTGGATATTTGGACATTAACTTTGTGGGAAAGCGTCAACTTTCCCATTGGACCCACACAAAGTTAGTTTTTTTTCTGCGGAGCGGTCAACAGCAAGCAAGGAAGAGGAACTAAAGTAGACCCACCTTGACGAACTGCAAAAATGAAAGCCAAGCGAGAAGGAGCTCTTGGAGAGCCGCTGCTCCGAATAAGAAGGGTCAAATTTGATTAGGGATCATCCCATTGCCTGGCGGTCTTTGAGCAAACACCAAAGGAGCAAGGGATGGCCATTTACTGCCAGCCAGTGAGCAAATGAGTCATTGCCAAGCACCAGCCTGCCACTAGCTTGTTTCAGCTGTCGGGCTGCTAACCGTCAGTGCAAAACCCACCTTCGGAGCAGTGCAAAAACAACGTTTCGGAGCAAGGAGTTTTTGTTGTCTTTCAGTTGCACCAGCAGCCGTTGCGTTTGTCACCCATGCCTGGCAAATGGTAAGAACACCCGCTCACAGGCATTGGATACAGTGCTGAGCGGGTGCCAGCTAAATGGCAAGCACGCCCGCTCACGGGCACCCGCCAGCACTGTATCCATGCCAGCAAACACTGTATCCATGCCAGCCAAATGGTAAGCGCACCCGCTCGCGCGCACCCGCTCAGCACTGTATCCATGCCAGCCAAATGGTAAGAACACCCGCTCGCGCGCACAGCTCTGTATCCATGCCAGCCAAACGGTCAGAACACCCGCTCACGCGCACCCGCTCATCACTGAATCCATGCCAGCCAAATGGTGAGAACACCCGCTCAAGCCCACCCGTTCAGCACACTGAATCCACGCCAGCCAAATGATAAGCGCGCCCACTCACGGGCATTCGCTCAGCACTACATCCATGCCATGGTAAGCATACCCTTTTCAGCCACTGACGCATACCCTTTTCCAGATCTCATTTCGACGTGCTCAAAAGACTGTTGCGAGGCATGCGCACGTTGATCCATTGAAGTAACACACTTGCCTGATTGAAGTGACACCTCCAGGCTCTAGCAAAAAGGGTACCCTTTTCGCAGCTGAAGTGCTGCGCCTGCCAGCGAAGTAAGAACACGGACCCACAAGAAAACATGTGTTTTTTTTTTTTTTTAAAGTGTGTTTTGGGGATGAAAACAAGAGGAAGCACTGAGCGAAACACTGGTTCGGTCAAGAAAACACGACGGTTGCCAGCCCGGCGGGTTGATTCAGCCCCCTTTGGCTTAAATGTAGCACTTTGCCAATTCATGACCAGCCAAGCCACAAGGAGTGGTACCTTTTTTGGTGTCGGCTTTGCTTGATGTTTGTCAGTGGGGACTGGGGCAATGCCCCCCCAACTGTATCCTGTGGTTTCCTTTGAGGTGATCCTTAGCTAGGTGGTTTGTTTCACTGGAACACAAGGCCTCCTGGAAAGGTGGCACCAAACGGCAGCGAAACAAAGCTTTGTACAGAACTATGGCAGCTGCCGGAAAAGAGAAACCGGTGAAGAAGGCTGAAGGTTCCAACAAGCTTCCACCTACTAGGTCTTAGGTGCAGGAACTGTGAAACTAGCAACATTGCTATGAAGTTTCTTGGTTCTCCCGAAAAGTCCTCGTGAATATTTTCCCTATTGACACTTTTGAGACCCCTTGTTGGTCTATGGGGGTCCCTGGCTGCACCCCCATGGAAGATTCGAAAACAAGGGTTTGGAATTGAGACTTGGACCCCAATGAACTGGTACCTTTGGTCAATTCATACTACAAATGACATTTGTTTTGTAAACGTAGCCCAGTCCCATTCCATGCAAATTCCACGGTAAATTCATAGTTCCACTGCGGCGTTGCTCAGGCAGTTCCGCAGCATCTCGGCCAAATCTTTGGTGTTGCAGGTCGTTTGGTTGGTGCTTCGAACGAGCAGGCGACAAGGATCCTATTTCCGTTTCTGGGGTGCTTCAAGCGTCACCAAAGCTTGTATAAATATCCTGTTGTATTCAGCTCAGTATTCAGTGCACCCTGGTGTCTAAAACTGATCCGTTTGAAAAAGTGATAAAGAGTCAAACAACAATGATAAGGATCTAGGGGAGTGGTTTTGCCAGATTGGTCACAGCTTGTTTGGTAGCAGAAACGCCAGACTGTTTAGCTGAGCCCACACGACAACAAAGCGGAAGCAGAAACGATGACGTGTTCGCAGCAATTGCATATTGCACGCCCTTCCCCAAATCTTCTCATCAGAATGCCTGAGCAGCTGCAATGTTTGAGCTGGAGCTGCCAAACGTACTTCGTGCACTACGTGTGTACTGAACAGTTGGGTGTTTTTGAGCCGCGGCTGGCTTTGTGTAGTGTACTGCACATGTTCTGAGGTGTTAGGGCTTTTTGAGCAGGAGATGCTAAGCTCCAATCTGCGTACTACACTTTGCACAGTTGCACTTTTTGAGCTGGATTTGCCAAAATGTACTTCGCTCTGCACGCAAAGGTTGCTACATTCGGTCTTGAAAGCAAAGGTAAACAACATACCGAAACATGACAAAGAGTTGACAAACATGGGCCAAAAGCGAGCAATCAACGTGACTGCTAAAGAGTTGTAAATACAACTTCTTCTTTGGTTGCAATTTGTTTCGCTTGAGTGGGGGTGATGTTTAAGGGAGAGAGAAAGGCACTCTGAATGCATGTCTCCAGAATATGCAGCCCATATTTGAATATGTTCCACGGAAAGCCGCAACGAAGGCGCCTTTGTTGGTTGCCGGCCCCCCAACAATATGATCAGACAAAAATGCACTAGCTTCCATGCAGAGGCGATGACAACACTACGTGGGCATGGGGTGGTTTGGGCAGTCCGCGCACTGCAAAGCTTGACGTCTGGGCTCCCAGGTGGCCTTTGGCTGATCATGGCCGGATTGGGCAGTTTAGCCGGACCCTCAGACTCGTCCCTTGCCCAGGCTGGGGAGCTTTTGGCAAGCCAAGTGTTGCCGAAGCTCCAAGGTGCTGTGGGAGATGAGCCGAACAAAGTGCTTTGGCTGGATGTGTCCTTGGTTGAAAGCCACTTCTTTGTAGCTGTTCAGGCTGCAGTTTCACTGGCACTGCTCGCAAATTGCTTAGTTGGACGTGTATTTCTTGTAGGATGTGTTGGTACGCAGAAGTTTACCCGGATCTCACCAGCCTTTCAGTACTCGCACCCTTGTCATGCGGCAGTTGCTGACCCCTTCTTGAGCGGGGGAAGTAAGATTCGCCTGCAGAGGGAGTCAACTTTTGAAGCCACTCCCTTGTCCAGAGACGCGTCCACAAATTGGGTCGCTGCTCTTATCAATTTCCCACTGAGGCTTTGTGCCTTTTGGGAAGATCATTTAGGACACATCCAGCTTTTGTTTGCCCACTTCACTTCCTGCCGAACTGGCAAAGTGCGCTTGAATAACGGTTTACGCTCTGAGTTGCCCAGTGCCGATGACCAGCTGCTAGCCACCTGCTGAAACACGCGTTCCAGCTGAGTGTTACCCCAAAACCAGCCTTTGAAAGGATCCCTTCAAGGAGTGTCACACTTGGGGTCTCTTGAGTTCTGAATTCCAACGGGAGCCAAAGACACCTGCATTTTTTCCACGCCTTGTGTGTTGGAGGGTACACAGTTTCCCCCTCCCCATGTCACATCGGTGTGTCATATAGAATTCGGAACCCTATGTCCTCCCCGACTTTTTGACGTGTCGGGTCAAGCACGGAGAAAGCCCTGTTTCAGCTGTTTGGCGCAGACTGGTCACTTCGGCTTGGCTCGCGAATGTTGCCGACTCCACGGATCCTCTGAGCGCTCAGCAACTGGATTTCCCCGAGCTAAAAGCTGAACGCATTTCAATGAACAGAATGGATCCATCATTTTTTCTTCAGCCACTGAGGTTGGTTCAAATTTACCAGTGCCATTGGTCGGAGGTCAAGGGGAGATGTCAGAGACGCCTGTCAGGTGTATCTCCCATTTTCAGCGGCTCGAGCGGCGTGTGTGGAGGGAGGGGCTCATCTCCAGAAAAGCAAGCCGCTTGCGCGAGGAACGCTGAGTCGAAGCGTTTTGTAAGATAAGCTACCCAGCTAGCCCAAGAATAACACATGCAGGGAACGAGACTAATCACGCGAGCTTTTTGCTCGCATTGTGGGAGTGCTTTGTAATCTGCTTGAAGCGGACGCGCCAATGTGCTGAGTTGCAGTCGCAGGACTCGCTGCAGAGCGCAGATGCTGCTGTGAGGCATGTGGGGGGGTGGCCAACTGAGTGTTTCAATAAGCTGTCCAAGTTTACCCAACTGCTGCTTTGGATTCGATATTTTCTCGCTGTGCCGGCCACACTGTGAAAACGCCGTGGTTCTGTCAATCAGGTTTGCGCTTATTTTCAAGAGAGACCAACACAGAACCAACCGACTTTAGGGGTCGTGTGTGTTAGGGGAGAAGCCCATTTAACCCCTTCCGAATCCTTCCGATCTTCGGGCTCGGGGATTTGGCACTTCGTTTGCAAGACGGGCCACTTTCCCAAACTGGGCCCGGCACACCTTTGCCATCCACCTTTGCGATCCACCTTGGTGATGGAGCAAGGGAGCCACTGATCCGAGAACTTGTTCTTTGTGCATCCACTCAGGTTATGAGTTTTCAATTGCTTGGAGTCTCACCAAGAAATCCCATGCTTGTGCTGTCGGGGTCCAAGCAGGTGCACCCACACAACCTCCACCTGAGACCGGGCAAACGGCAGGCGAGGCAAGTCGCTGGAGGAGGAGGGTGGCAAGCTCCAGGCGCAAAACCGCATGCGAATTGGGGGGTCGTTGGGTTGTTTTCGTAGCTTGGCTCATTGGCGGATTTTAAGTCAAGTTGTGTATCGGATTGGAGATTCGGTGGGATTAAACATACCCACAAAGCCCAGACCCACAGACCCACATCATTCTAAATACTCACCTTGAGTGCAACCGAAATGGGCGCGCCTGCTTTTCTTGAGTTGGCAACCTGTTCGCGGTGTTTTCAAAGGGCAGGAATCCCACACTGTGAGGTTTCCTCGTTGTAAGACACATCCGAATCATCTTGCCAGAAGCAATCAGGATGCCCATTTTGGATGAATCGGTGCCTTGGGATTATTGTCGAGGTCGTCCACTTGTGCTCAGTCGTCCGCCTTGATCCTACGCTGATGTGTTGGGTGTTGCAGTTGCTAACTGGAGTGAAAGGGGTTGTTCCCTTACAAGTGTCCGTATAACCTACTTGATAAGTGGGTCAGGACGGACTGCGGAACAATGCTAACCTTCCAAACGCTTGTCCTGAACAATGGGAGGAAGGAAGGTTTCGATTAAGGCGCCGTCCAGATGGGGTCACCAATTCGATCTAGCAGACAGCCGCTTATGCCGTTATACCCAACGGCAACTCTTGCTTTTGCAGAGTAGCATTTTTTTTGGAGGACCCACTGCTCCAAAAAAGCACGTAGTATTGCCCACACTCGTTGAAGCACTGTCCAAAGTCTGAGAGTTTTCAATTCTTCAGAGCATTGCCCAAAGGAAAAGAAGCATGGGTAAGAAGACTGAGGGGAATCAGCCCAAAGAACACCAAATTCTGTGAATGTTAGCAGCCTCCGCTCCAGGATGAGGAGCGTGAGACGATAGGCCGGCGCGGGACATGCGCTCAGGGGTTTTGCCTCTCCGTTGAATCTCATGGAACCCACAAAGTGTGAAACCCTAGGGCCTCCCAAAAGAGGGAGACAAGACCGACATCCAGTCTGAGAACGTGCATGTGCCGTGCTGGGATTGAAAGGGTCACATCAATCTTGTCACAATAAATCTAGGCTGGAACTGCCCTGAGCCACAATCAAGACCTGCGCGGATGAAGCTTAGCAGCAGAAACAGCTGCGGCTGCCCTTTTGATTCTTTCATGGTTTTTGGTACAGAGTCTTGATCATGAATCCCCATTGCAGGCATTTTGTTGCGCGGGTTTTGAACTCCTGGTCTTTCCATGTCAATTAAGCAAAGAGCCGAACATTTGTTGGTTGGCCAGTGGGCAAGTCAGTTCCCAGTTCAGCATGGGATGTGGTCAGCTATGATTGTTGATTGTCCCACACCCCAAGGGTAAACCTCAGCTCTCACTCAAAGACTACTTCAAATAGAAAGCGCGAGATCCGCGACAGCGTCTTGAACTAGGCCAGAGACCGGACTGGTCTTTGGTCTTTGCGCAAGTATTGACAGAAGACGATGAACTCGGCACTCCAGATGACTAAATTAGTCGCAAAAGAGTACTACGCACGCAGTTGGCAGAAAAGCACCTTCTCGATGGATGTTACGTTGAAATGAATCGGATGTGTAGCACGTCAGCAGGCAAGCTCCAGCTGGACCTTGATGTCGGCTTGGAAGCGAAGGCGCTTTCTCGGGCAAGGGGATCTTTGTCAAACATAACGCCAGGACCTAGCCAACCTCATGATGTGGTCTTCTGTCGTGGACCCTCCCAGAGTAAACCAGGCAGTGCGAGATCTTGGGCTCCTTTTAGGCCCCGCATACGGAACCTGGCATCGCTGGCGAGCATGACAGACCCAGGGGGATGGAAGCAACAGTAGACCTAGCGAAGCGCTGGTTGGGCCACAAGGATCAGGTCGAACGCCGCTGCTTTAACACTTGACCACATAGGAATTGTGCATGACTGCCCCAGGTGCTTTTGTTTCCAGATGAAACCTTGCTATTTGCGTACTTGCCTGGGGTCATTTCCCAGGGTAGTCCCAGCTTGAAGTACACAGTTTGTGGATCTACAGGTTTTTGCATCCCAAACATCCACTCACATGTGGTCCGCAAAGTGCTTCACCTTTTGGTGTAAACCCACCGCGCTGTCGTAGTCCAGGGCCCTTAGAGACATTTACCCAAGGGTCATCCCTAAAGGGGACTGGGGACGTTACGGTTTCCATGTTGATTTGATTGGGTGTCACATGAAGAGAGAGCGTCTTGCTTTCGGGTCTTCCTCCATTTTGATGGTTTCAGAGGCAAGCCAACAAGAAGCACACCTTTTGAAGGATTCACTCTTGAGTCAACTTCGCTACGCCTTTGGATCTGGGCAAAAAACAGGGAAGTGGTCATGACTGGCAAATGTGCCATTGCTCCATTGCACCTGAGGGAATCTTCGTGTCGGTGAATAAACCAAGCGCGTCAGACTCCCTGACCGATCTCATATTTCAATCTGGGCGAAGCAGTGAACCCAATGCTTGAGGCTCAACTTGCGTGGTGTTTAGCGAGGGAATTCAAAGTGAGCCCGGGCCCAATGCCGCAAGCAGCGGGTGGATGTTTGACAGGAGGCGCAGCTGGAAGAGAAAGTCCGGGAGGTGGAGCGGCAGTTGCAGCTGCAAGAGAAGGCACCGATTTTTGTGTTTTATTCTTTGTTCATAAGGGGTCGCTGCGATCAGTTTGGATGAGGTGCGGTCGAAATCTCCTAATCCCTGGATAGACAATTCGATGTGGTGCTTTGGCTTGTTACTTTGGGATTTGAACGTCTGGTTCGTTCTTGCAGAGGCCTGTGAGCCTAACCAATCCAAGTCACCAACGAGCGGTGATTTGTTGATTTCTTTGACCGTGGCTCAGATGGTTGTATTGAAATTGTGGCAAACTCGCACGAAGGGGGATGTCTAACCTCACCCTCATAGGGGATCCTTTCAGACACTGTTTGGTTTAGGTTGTGCTTTCCGTGGTAAGTCAATTTGCGAATAAACATACAGATTATTTTCCACGACCGGCTGTGATGTTGAGCCATTGAATTCGGATGGGTTTTATTGGTGCTTCATGGCCTGAAGCACCCCATTTCGTCAACCAAGGGCTTGCTGTCCTTTGCCAAATTGATACCAAGCCCAAAGAGACCCCCCCCCCGCCCACAAAGAACTGACGCTGGGACACATGTTGATCCGTTGAAGAGCATGTATGACGAACTGGGTTGCCGGTGTTCCATGGTTCCCGGCCTTCCTTGGCTTTGTTTTGTCTATCGATGAGAGGGGATTGCTGCAAAAGCTTTGGTAACTTATCTCCTGTAGATGAAATTTAGATTGCTCAGCAGGCTACGACTTGCTCATTTAGCGCAATTGCAATTCAGAAGCCTTCGGTCTGGGAAGATTTAGGCTCTTACACCTGCTGAGATTCTGC